GGTGTCGGTGGTGGAAGCAAACTACTGCAGGGCTCCTAACTAAAAAAGTGAGTCTGATAAAGAGGAAGTCTGAGTCACTCATGTGTCCTCTGATTCTGGTTATCTGTTTCGGGCTTCTTTTTTTGCCTGAGCGATTCGGGCTGGAACCATCGGGAGCTCCCTCCCTTCTCCTCATTCATGTGAACCATGACTTTCACTGAACTGAGAGCACGCTGCGGAGATAAGGGCTCCAGTCAGACTGACCTGTGGCAGTGGAACCAGTGAGGAAATGTGGTGAACTAGAGCCATCTGGTCAGCTTCTCTCTGTCCTCGCTCTGCTGAGCACAAAGCAGGAGCCACTTGCTTTGTCTGCTGAACTATCCAGCATAAGTTGATGGTATGACAAAATCATGTGCATTTGTGTTTACATTTCACCTTGTGGATTTTATAGGAAAAATACAAATAGAACAGCAGTTTAAAAGTCTGTATCGTTTCTAAGAAATCGTATAATACACAGATCCATATCCTTCTCCTTTTTTCTAAAAGCCTCAAACACTAATTCCATGCCATGTTAATGGATATGCATCTTCTTTTTCTACTTATTGACTGAGGTTTGAGAAAGGTCATCCACAAAAAGCTTTTGAGACAACATTCTCCCAGAGAATATTGGATTTTATCTGCATCTGTTAGCAAAGCATTTGGCATGAAAGAAGAAACATTTAGTAATGTACACCACTATGATTTGAAGCAAACCATCCTGCCAATGCTAAAACCTTCAAAAGCCTGTATCAAATCTCTGTAGGTATTCGGTAACAAGCGAGCACACTCCTCGGAGTAGTGATATTTCAACCAGGATTCACGGTTTATGGTAACTGTACTTGTTGCGAGAGAGTATGTCAACTACTGTACTTTTGTTAAAGTAGTCATCTCAAACAGATGGATAAATGGTTGAAATAGTTAGCTAAAGGTAATGGATAAATTAGGCCTGGGTACTGGCACTGATCTCCTGATCCAATGCAATTCAATGCATGATCAATCATTTAGATCAGATAAATACCAGTGCTGCATACAGTGATTCTGTGACTCTTGGGAACTTGCATTTTTTCACATTCAATGCTGTTGTTTCCTTGAATATAAAATTATGTATGGTTCACATTTAGGATTTATTTCCCTTGGTCAGTGCAAAATGACTAAAATATGTTTTTATGCCATAATTAGGCATAATTTAGAAGCATAAATTCTATCCCATACAGCTACCTATGGCCTGTCAGTAGCAGATACAGACATCCACATTAATGATCACTTTGAGCACAGACAGGGCAGAAACTTAACATCTGCCAACTGATTCAATGGCACTGTTTGTGTTGACAAGATGACAGACTAACAAGACAACTGCTAGCTAGTGCTAACTCACCGGCAGCAACATACTGACTAAAGTAGAATCCACATACTGTTCACTCAGCTTCCATGGCCTCACATCTCCTGGACAGAGATCTCTCTTCAACAAAACAGAGAGCTCAGATCAGTCTGTCCCACCCGTCAGCAGGATCGCTAGATCTGCTACAAGAAAGCCAGAGCCAGCTAACCATCCTGAGTCACCAGTCTTGTAAACTGCAGCGTCAGTTTAAAAGACTAACATGACTGAAAGTGGCTAATATAGCTCACGACAGTACTTTAAATAAGGTTGATAACCTTTGTGCACATTGTAATAACCTGATTTCCGCAAATTTGACAATTTACACATCATGCAGCTCCAAGTGAGCCGCTAAGTAACCTCTGCATACATGTAACATTCAGCTCAGATGTAGCCTAACATGTTTACTAAGAAAAGCAAACATGACTGACCTAATGATTTTAAGATTCAATACTGGATAATAAAAACAAAACAAAAAAAAAAAAAAAAAAAAACTAAAATTAATTGAGAAATCAATTTTTTATATTCAACCCTAAAAAATAGTGTAAAAATAAAAAATTGTCTCTGATGCATGAAGATTAGTTTGGATACACCCTTATTGTACAGTATGTGTGTTCAGGTGTGTACAACACAATCCTACCACAGTGCAGACTCTTCAGCCTGTTGCAGCAGTCCAGCAGACAATGGCTTCCAGGGGTTGAAACTGGGAGCATCACGAAATAAGTAGACCTTGATGGTTCTCACTCCTATAACACACCTGACCTACATTCACAAACAGGATTCATTATTAGTTTCTGTTCCATTTTCTCATGTCTCCTCATGAGTCTCTATGCTATATAACATCACTAAGAGCATAACATCATTAATTCAACTGTTAACATTTGACATAATTTGCTACAACCAAGTTTAATTTTAAAATGCTCAATTAAATTAGGCCACACAGTTCAGGTAACAATACAAGCACTTCACATTATATAATTTTCAACAATATAAATCTTAATGATACTGAATAGCTGTATTCAACTGAAACAAGCATATACATTAAATAGGCTGCAACATATTACACATCATATTCCACAGACATTACTCTCTGTGAAAGCAAGTTGACGAGGTTTATTGTAAGTACAGCTTTCCGTTTTTCCAATTTCTCAAAATTTCCGATTCAAAAATCAAACAAAACTGTTGTCAAAAATGCCAAAATGGCGGATAAACATTATAATAAACAAAACTTAGCGTGGCAATACAATAACAAGCTAACTAAACTTACCGAGACAGGAGACGCACGGCTAAACAAATCATTAGGATGAAACTGGCGTATTGGTAATTTCTGCATGGAAACCCTTTTCAGGTATATTCATTAATATCCTGACTTCAGTCCTACTGCTTCCTAACCTTCCCCATTAATTGAAAGTAAGAAATAACAAGTTATAATGGATAAATGTTAATATTTAGCTTATAATATGGATACATTGTTGAAATAGTCAACAGAAAATGTAATTGTTAAATGGTCAAAATTGTTAAAATTAATGGATCCATTGTTAAAATTAATATAATTAAACAGTAAATGCATTGAAATAACTTTTGTCTGACAACTCTGACAAATAAAGGTTTGTGAACCAGTGTTTGACATGTGCACTTACATTTTTTTAACTTTATTTTTTTTTAATGATTTGTTACCCTTGAGCAGAGGTCACAGGTATTTACAGACATATCTCAATACGGAAGTCTTCATAAGAAAATGTCCACCTTCATTTGTAGGTGAGCTGTCATATATTCCATCATGTATACTTGTTCTAGTCTTTTAGTCCAATGAATTATTTGGTGATGTCATTTTCATTCAGTTTGTTATCATTTTCCTAGCCACCACTAAAAGAATATGTGAGATATATGGTCTTTGTTGTCAGCTCTTCAGGCACTTTCCACTGAGTATAAAATATACTGGTTCTAGAGGAACATCAATGTTAATAATTATCCTGACTCCTTTTATATTTTGTCAATATCCCTGTATTATTTTGCAGTTCCAAAATATATGAGTGGTCCCCTACCAGTCCATGCTTTCTCCAGCACTGAGGTGTTGTATTATCTCTGTCAAACTTTGACACAGTTGTTGGTGTCATAAAATGTTATTTTTCATTTCCAGTCAAATTCTACCCAGGACTGACTATTGATCCCTTTATGCTTACCAGCACACATATCTCCCCACATCTTGTCTTCATCTCCAGTTCCCATTTTCTTTTATATACAAAGTACAGTATCTTAAGCCAGCTCAGCTGACAAACACTTATACAGGTGAGAAACTGCGTATCTAATTTTGATGTCACAACATCAGAGCAGACGATCCCTCATGCACCCTCAGTGATCTATGGAGTCCTCCTTAGGGGGACGTGGACACCAGGTTGGGAACCGTGGTATTAGAGCAATCACCAATTATATCTTGCCCTCCTTCCCTACATCAGCTGACATCACTAGCTGTTGGACCTTGCTGCCATTTTATAGAAACACCACATAAGAGTGATTCGCCAGGGAGACCGGGGAGAGGCCGACATCTATCCAGCCTGTCAGTGGTCAGACAAGAAGCCCAGAGAGAAAAGGCAAAACCCACTTGGATCTTGACTTAGTGATAAGTGACCTTGCACATAGCAGCCATTACACCATCAGAATTAAATGATAAGATTCCAATTATCTGCTCATTTAAACCACCGGTCAAAATGAGTAGTAAAGGATGAGGGAGCTTGCCGCTAAGGATTTCATGTTGTAATAGCTTTCTGCAGGTGAAAAGGGAAATTGAAAAAAACCTTGCAGATATTACACAAGGTAGTGCTTCTGTGCAATCATGAAAATGCTCCTTATCCATTTCACAATAAATGTCTAAAATTTTTTTGTTCCAGTTCTAACATGACAAATGAAAAATCTCATCTAAAGAACATTTACATTTACAACACAAATGTTTGTCCATATCAGTTTGTTTTGGAAGGTTAATCAATCTCTGCAGCATTATTCAGCATCGCCTAGGGTGAGAGAGGAAGTCTGTGGTCTGGAGTCACCTTACTCTGGGCTGAGCAGCAAAGCAAAAGAGACTGAGAAGGATGAGAGGGAGAAATTAAAGTACTGGAAGAGGAGTTGAGGGTGGGGGGGGAAGACAGAAATGGATGGGTGAGAGGTATGATGAAAAGGAGAAAGAAATGAAGTGAGGGGTTTAAAAGAGAGATCAAATGGTCGATGTGGTTCAAGGCAAAGGGAGCTGCTGAAAGACATCATCCGTATGAGAAAGCGCAGGAGGGTCAAAAGCTTCTAGACAGGAAGTCCACTGGCTGTCAGTTATCTGCTTCTGCTGACAAGTCATTCAGAAAACCATACATTCTTTTAGTTGACCAATCACCACCTGAGAGAACAGAGCCACACCCACTCACTCCCATCATACCCCACATTCTCCACCTGAGAATTAATTGAGAGACAATTACACTCCCACACACACACACACATATTCACAGAGAACAGGGAATGACAAAGCCAAGCAGGGTAATATAACCTTTACAACCAGGGTCATAACACATATGCATTTTTGATAGAACATCCAATGAGAACATGACAAAAACAAACCTTCCCCCCCACTTCTTTTATTGTTATTCGCTGTTATTTTTTCAGCACAAACCCCTTCCCTACCCTGAAATACATCAGTTGTCTCTGTCTCCCTCATAAATACAATGGTCAAACACAGCAGTCATGTACCATTGGTTCATACAGAAACAGGCAAGTGGAATCCATGGTGCAGTCGCCGTCACTCAGAGTACAGTCATAACAAAATGCTTTGGAATGGTAAAAGCACAATGCCACAGTGATCGCAGCTGCTGGAAAACATAATGGGTGAAATTAAAGATGTGGATCAGGATATTTTGAAATAAATTGAAAGAAATGCGAGGCAGACTGGATTCAAACTGTGACAGATCTGTTTTACTCAAAGAGCTGGGATGAACACTCAATTCACACTTGGGCGTTCTGGCAATAAACTCACAAAATGGTGATTTACAGCACATTCAGCTTCGTGGTTATGTAGTGGTTACTTACTGTACGTCTTTACTTTGGGAAAACATATAGGATATTATTCACATAGTATTCACATAACATAATATACATCTGTATGTACACATTCCTTCCATCCTCATGAAAAAGTGTCCAGGCACTTCTTCATGTGATTTTCTGTCAGATCACTGAATACACTATCGCTACCTCATTTTGCATCCACATAGAAAACAAACTGCTCTATCAGTGAAGCTGTGGGAGTCTGGTGATGTTGGTATATTGTTAGATTCCTCACATATTTTGGTGTGACCAGACTGTGAGCTGCAAACTAGCAGCAGAGTTCACCTAGCTGCCATTTTTCAACTTCTATGGGCTTCAAGGTGTCTCTCTTTGTTTATTAGGGCAGGTTCGGGAGTGACACCTTGATTGGCCTCCTTTAAGGATAATAATAGATTACAGAATAAATATGTTCTTGATTCTGAAAGAAAAATTGTGGGACAAATACAAAGAAAAAAATGCCTAGTGTGGTGAAGTCTTTTCTGTAGATTTTGCAAAGCTCTCTCAGATCATTATGTTTCTCTCTGGCAAAGTTGCTTCCATTGATTTGGACGTTAACAGTTCTAATGATCTCTAGGCATTGGCCAGTACGTGAAAAATAATGGATTTTCTTTGTGAAACTAGTCTGTGATAACTAAGCAGCCAGATCCATGTAGAACTATTTCTTACTATTCCTACAGTTTGAAATACTGTTTTTAGTTTAGTGGTGATGCAAAATAGCTAATATTTCCCTTTACACAGTGTTAATGCCCCATTAAGTAGGGGGTTCATTTTGTCAATGTTCTAAAATTTTATAACATTGACAAAATGAACCCCCTACTTCATTGGCTTGGTTTGCTTTGACAATTTACAGTACAACCAGATGCCTCAGGCAACAAAGGAGTAAAAGAGTCACAGACTGAAACCTGTAATGTAATGGAACATCATGTTTCACACCATCACTATAGCATGTCAGTACATTTCTAAAGTTATTCACATTACAGCGGTGAAACAAGGGTCTTGCTCTATGTATTCTGTATTAATCTGTGCAGTATTTGGCCCTCTACAACTCACAGGGGTACTGTAATAAATGGAACCACCTCAGCTACAATGCTAAGTTGCAAGCAGTAGATACACTTCAATGACAGACAGTTTTTTTAACAATCTCAGTAGTTGTATCTGCATGCTCTTACTTCGCCAAGCAAATAGGCCATCTGTTGTGTCTCGATATGAGAATAATCTGCTATTGTGCAGTTTGAGAAATTTGAAAACACAAGCAGTCACAGCAGTGACTAGCTGCACCAACACAGGTCATGATCATCTTTCAGTGCATTTCCACTCCACCTGTCTGCACAGAGGCATCACAGCGCATCACATAGGCCTACAAAATAATGAGGAGTACGCAAAAGCTGTTTTTCCATGATTATATGAACACACCTGAACAGATTTCCCTGCTCCTTTTACTTTCCTGCTGGGTATAGGATACAAACAATCACTTTGGAGCAAGAACATTAGCTGATGCTATACATACTGTATGTTTGTAGGCATATATCAAGACAAAGCAGTACAGTAGAACAAAGGAAAGACAGGTTTCAAGTCAATCATTGGGATTGGCACTGTGACTGTAATGAAACAGGAATCTCCTGTAGTGGCACCAGGTCCGGTGCTGTGGTCCCTGGAAGTGTCCACCTATAGCACGCATGGTAATCCAGCACAAACAAACACAACACATTGCACTACTGTACAGTTTCTGCATCAGTACTGTTGAGAACTGGGCTGGTCGATCCTGATGCTTTAAGCCTCTTCTTAAAATCACTTGTTGCTGTTTATTCACCAGTATAACGATCTTTAAAATTTATTCAGGGATCTGAATAAATCTGTTCCTACATCAGAGAATAAGGCAGTTTATGGTATGGTAGATAAGTCATGCCACAACCACAGTGGACTGCTGTGTAGCTCTTAGAGAGAAGAAAATGGTTCCACATATAGATAATCCTGCTCTAATTCTGGAAGTTCATCCAGCCCCCTCCCTGAATAAAATGATGAAACACAACCAAGATCGACCCTTCTTCATGATAAACAGGTCCATTCTGTAGCTCAGAGTATTGTGTTGCTGCTACAGAGACCCTTAGCACAAGTCCAATAGGCAAAGAGGACCAAGAAAAGCACAAAAATATCAAAAGAGATAAACATCACCAACGAGGAGGAAATCACAGCTGTACATTAAAGGTTAAAAGTTAATCAGGTTTTGTTCCTCTTCTTCCTTTGTAGTTCTTTCAATGCCACATGTCCGAACATTAAGCTAGAAAGGGGGTCACTGGATCACAGCACGTGGGATGCTGCCACTGTGGAAAACATTTAGTTGCTATCTCCCTTCAAAGCAATCCAAGTACTCCAGGACGAGGTCATAGCAGAATCGGTACTGGTCCTGGGGAAAAATAACAAATTCTTAAATGAAAAAGTAAAAGCATGAGGATAATTCTAGACATATTCTTTCCACTTTAAATGCTTTGTTGTATTAAGTTACAGGCTCTCTTACCAGTGACTCCACCATGTTAGGTTTACAGTTCCGTAATGTTTTGACAGCATAGAAGATGTCCACCATATTCTGGTACTGGATCATTTCAAGGAGAATGTTGCAAGCGCAGAAAGTCCCACTGCGACCACCGCCATTACTGTAGAGGAGAAGATGTGTTATTTCAACAATCATCTCAGACAGATGCTCATTTATAAGTCAAAAATGTGTTTTTTTAAATAATTTAATTCTCTATTTGTGTATTTATATGTGGCTGTAGGGGTGGCAATGCTGATTGGTCGGTTCACCACTTGGTTCCAAGCATTTAAAACGTAGCCGGTATAAACTTCTGAATTGGTCGTCAAAAAATCTGGCAAAGATATCCTTTTTTTAAGCAGGCAGGTAGGTACGTAGGTAGGTATTTTACTGATTTCTCAATGGGGAAATTTCAGTGTTTCAGCATCAATGGCGAACAAACACCATGAGAAACAAACACCACACACATATCTTGATAAACAAATTTCAGTACCTCAATCAGCAATAGAGAACAGACAGCATAACACCACGAGAACAAGCACCACACACACATCCCAATAAATAAATTCCAAGTACTCAAAAATAGACAGAATCAAGTATTTGAATAATCAAGAACAGAATTTACATATGTGCATATTAACCATGCATTTTATCCCAGGATTTGAGTATTGCACCTCAGTTGACTATTACATAGTCAACATGCTAAACTAAGATTGTGAACACAGTAAACATTATACCTGCTAAACAGCATTCTAGCATTTTCATTGTGAGCATGTTAGCATGCTGATGCTCACATTTAGCATTTACACAGTGATTACAGCATTACAGAGCAGAGTGACTCTTAGGATAATTGATCCATTATGTGAAATTGCGTTTATGTTTTAAGTGAGCTATACTAGACGCAGTTAAGGTTTAGGACCAGTTTTCATAGACTGAAAGCCTATCATATTGCCTGTGCAGTAGGCATGTAACAATAGCAATATACACAAATGTATCTCCTTTTCCAGTAAAAATAAGCCTTGTAATATGTTTAAATGGGCTCTGGAAGACAATAATACAATATAAGGAGGGCATAATATGTGTAATCTGATAACCCAGTTTTAGTGTTCATACTACTTCATGACAAACAGGCATTTGATATACTGTAGTTCACACAACATGTGTACATAATACTATGATACAAAAATAGCAACACAAGAAAAGCTGCAAAAAAACAGAAAATGTAGAAATAAGAGTACTGTATTGCAATTCTTCAGAAATATTGTCCCGGTCATCATAAATGAAAGGCAATATAAATGAACTACTGGACAACAATCCACTTCCTCTCTCCTGAGACAACCTCAGTGACGGTGGGTATGGAAGCCTCTGCAGCGTATACAAGTAATATTAAGGTAATCAATCGTCATCAGCACTGTGGCAGTTCTGGATTTACTGTAGTGAGAACCATCACATTCTGTATTAAGCCATAATTGATTTGATCTCCATAATCTCTTTCCTGGTTGTCGTGGGTAACACTGTGTGACAGCGCTGAGTGATGTGCTTTTGGATGGGGGCGGTGAGGATGAACGTGTGACGGGTTGGCAATGAGCTGGACGCCTCATCCATATTCATCAGCGGGTGTGCGCTCTGGGGGCTTAGGACAACAGAGTAGCATAGAACAGCACATTCTGCACTACACCGCAGCGCAGCACATTACCCCACAATTTGATTTTCTACATTACAGAATATCACAATGGAAAAATACTTTGCACTGCATCACATTGCACCAAACACCACAGAGGCAAGACAGTCTCCATCTCTCGTCTTCACTCAGATGTGGTCGTAATTTATCAATTTACCATTTAACAGCCATTTTAATGATGCACCCCTCTGCGAATAAGCTTCTGGCTTTCAATGTACTTTTAAATGTCAGTCTTTGACGGCAGTAACTTGCTGTTTGAGACCTTTTCAGAGAGCAACTGAATGTGTTTCTGCTTTGTGTTGTAATTTCCAGCACACAATGCATGCTGCTAAAAGATTACTCACAGGCAGTGGACAACAGTGCGTCCTTCTCCACACTCTCTTTGCCACTTGTGCACTTGAGCCAGCAGGTTGAGGAAAGCCTTTTTGGAGTCGGCCACGTCACGGTACGCTGACCAACGCAGGAACTGGAACTGACACACCACCAACTGGCCCTCTTGGAGCTACAAATGCAACAGAAAAGATAAAGCACGGCCTGCGCTGTGTGGTGCGTACACCTGTGTACATTAACCTGCTCTCATGTGTCTGTGTTGTCTTCATTTTCTGGTTGTTTCCGTATTTCTGTGTGTGCCAGTTAACGCTCGTGTTTGAGTGCTCCCCAGGGTGTGCGCTGGCACTTTCAGCTGTGCTCATTCAGCAGACTGACTTTGAGATATATGGGTCTGCAGGTGTAAAGTGGGACCCAAGTTTGGTGTGTGAGAGGTCCCTGTGTGTTCATAACCTTGTTCTGTAGAATATCACCTAATACTTAAGGACCAGAGGAGAACTGTAAGTCATGCAAATTGGGCTGGCAAACACACCAACGATACATGGAGGAATTACCTTAGTGGAGGTGGGATTTACACAATGTACTGTTTTTGTACTGCTCCTCTACTCTCACACACATATGCTTACAATGCACTTCCTTTGACTTTTACTCCCTACCCTTGTATATCATTGTCACACATAGAACGAATACACACTAATGCACTTAGAGAGGCACAAAGAGAGAGAGGTGTGTGTTATTTTTGTGTGATTTGATTCCTCTCATGCTGTTTTAAGTTGCCCTCTCCTTGGCAGTGGTGGGTACTGATAAAAAAAAAAAAAAAAAGGTGCCATAAGTAGAGAGGGGACTGACAAGGGCAGTCAACAGATAAGGTGAATAAGGTGAGAATGCCAATCATGAAAGGAAGTTCCTGGCACTGCCTATTGTGCTGCTTATAATGGCCTTGCATACATATTTCTTCAGTAATTGGTTGACCGTGATCCTGAGCAGAATGCGTGCCTGTGCTTATGCAAATTCCCAGGCATAAAAACACACCTGCACACACACAGAGTCAACACAGATTGTGATTTGTGTGAAGTCAAAATGACTGATTCATACATAGGCACACACTTGGAGACAGAGTAGTTTTTTAAGTTAAGTTGATCACACTGATATCCCCTGTGCTCCCCTCTTCTACCATGACAGAACTGTCAGTGATTTTTAAATTTTTTTTTTTTTTTGCCTATTTCATGCATTCTGCCTAATTCTCTACTTTTCTGTGACATAGTTTATGAACAAGTCAGAAGGAAATCTGCTTTGCTGCTCGAAAAGGGTACCCTGCAAATGAAAATATGGCATGCATTATAATAATGAAAGTCCCCCTCTTTAGTATGCCAACAGCCACCTAACAGAGGGAAGACGTCTATCTAGGTAATGACAAGAAGAAATTGAAAAAGGGAGAGGCTGACCTTTATTCCATGCATGTCAATGGGCTTCTCTTGCATGTTTTCCATCATAAGAAAGTTCTTATAATATGCATAACTTTTGTTGGAACGCCTTATGGAAACAGTAGTGGCTCTGGTTTGGTTTTATGAACTGCTGAATATCAAAACAATGTCCTGTGTAGCATGTATAATACAGACTATGAATAAGTTTTATTACGAATGCCAGTGTGCTCAGTACAAAGCTCCAGGATATATTTTAGGGTGTATTTATTTTGGAGTGTATTTATTTGACAACCTCCACCGTCCCATGAGGCATACAGTACACTAGTGAAGTGCAATTGTGTCTGCATAAGAGAGCAATATAGACAGATAGCAATGTAGAAGAACAAATCCAGAATCAAGTGAAGCTTGAGCACACACTGTATGAGAAGTTGTATGGAATTGTAAATCATCCTGTGAAGGTCTCAGACACAATATTTGAACAGCCAAGCCTGCGGCACTGAATTTGAGGATGTGTGTCTGCTTTTTGGATGCCCATTACAGGTGGAAGCCCTAAATGTACAGTAGGTAAAATGTCACATCTGAATTTCCAGTAAGGACTACAGCTAATGCATTTCTAATGAGGTTCAAGTTATCATTTATGAAATACCTAATGGAACACCATATCCTGTGAAGGCATTTTTTGGAACCATAATGACTCACCCGTGTGACGTTCTTGACCCGAAACAGACGAGTAATGACATCCTCGTCTGCTGACATAGACAGAAACTCCACTTCCATGGGCCCGTACTGCTGTAAACCAGGCTCTGGCCAGTACTGAACACACGGCTACAGACAGAGGTGAGGTCATAGAGAGAAGGGAGATTGTTTTATCAGTAACAAAAATGTGGAACATACTCAACCTTTGCATTTTTCGGGAACTGTGGCCAAAAAACTGCCTTTGCTCTTAAAATGCTGGATTATTAGAGAAGAGATAACTGTTCATAAAATATAAGGGTGTGTGCGCCTAAGCAGTGGGTGGGTCTGCACGCATATAGTGTTAATAAAAAAAGAGAAAACAGTTGAAGAAACATGCAAGTACAATAACAGCAATGACCAAAGTGGTGTCAGTGTGTACCTACAAAGAGAACAGGACGTGTTCTGCTGCCACACTGATGTTAATAAGGGGAGAGAAGCAGCACGGGGAGGGAGAGATGTAATATATGTTCAGAGATTGCAACAAGAGGGGCGTTGAGTACTCCAGCATCACAAATGAACTCTGCTGAGTTTATAACAGAATCTTGCAATGAAGAACTTAAAAGTGGCAATAACTCAATTTTCAGGCACGACCAAAAAGGACTGCAATGAACTGCAAGAAACAAGATGAAGAACAGGGTGGATGAAAAGTGGGATTGAAAAGGGGTAGCTACATTTTTTTTAGTTACAAGACTACACGTGGTGTTACAACATAGCATTCAGAAAAGCACTAACTTTATACAGTGAGTGAATGAGTATCTCACACAAAATGATTAAAGATTAATTGACACTGATCCACAGTTACAAAGCCCGTCCAGGCCTTTAAAGGTCATGTTAGTGGTTTACTGATTTTGAAAACATGTCTTTTGGTAGCATACTCTCAGGTGCCAGGTAGCAATCCAATCGTTTTCTGTCCTCCACTACCGATGACCCACAATTTCTTCAACTTCACAAAGCTTGACACACCACACAGATAACAATCTCTCTCTTTGGTGAGTTAATTAATTTAAGGCTTTTTAAAATGATGTGACATCTTATCTTTACAGGCAACTTAGAAGACTGAATAATGAACTCTTCAGCACCAGCACTGCCGACTCCTTACACTCATAGTAACCAGCTGAGCATTTTCCATGAAACACTGAAAAACTGTTAAGGACTGACTTTACAACAATCTAAGGTAAACATTTAAAAAAGATTCATAATTTACAATAAACACCTGCTTCCCAAGACTGTGATACAACACAATATAATATATATTTTCCCACGTTTAATATTTACACTGTCACTCATGCTAAGCTTGTAAATGTTGCATTTATGCCTAAAACTCCAAATCTAGATTCTGTATAACATTACCCCCAGTGCATTTGGACTTTTACAATTGATTTCTGGGATACACATTAGTATTTCAAATTGTCCTTGAAATAGTTGCTAATGATATACTGATGAAGACTTATGTTAGCTAATGCTCTGCACTGGTATTCCTGATCGCAATGCAGCATCTGACATAATGAATTAAAATTGATCTTATTCAGTGGTTAAGGTATCAGGAGTGTCCATGATTTATACTGTTTGTCTAATGCAAATTTTCTTCTGTCAATGTATTTTCTTTCCTGCAGGCAGTGTCCCTTTATGGTGTCCCACAAGGATCCATTTTTGGTCCAGTCTCATTCTTTCTTTTCATGCTTTTCTCATGCTACCTTATTAGATAGTATGACATTTCTTATTTCTTTCCCATTACCGCACAGATAATACCCAGTTGTACCTGTCCCAACATTACTGAATTATTCAGCAACAGTCATCTCTGCACAACTGTTTATCTGCCATTAAGGACTGGATGTCTGCTAGTCCTCCTTAACTCCAGCACAAAGGGAGATATTAATTAGTGGCTCAACACATCTGTAGTCAAGATGTCCCAGCTTTTGTATCTTTAATAGAATGTGTTGTCCCTGCTAAAAGAAAATCTGAGACTTAATCTGGATTCCCATATTACTAATGTTGTCTTAAGCCCTGTTTCTCACACCTGAGAAATGGTTTGAGAATTAAATCATTTCTTGATTTTAATGGCACTAGCACTATTGTACATGCTTTCATTTCATCCACACTTGCTTAATGTAACGATCTGTTCTTCTGTCTTAATCAGAAAACTGCAGGATAGCTCACTGTGTTCAACAGTTAGCCCCAGACTCTTAGAAAAACATCTGAGTTATGATTATATTTTCATTTTAGTATTGATTTACAGATCTATTGCTGATTTTTGAAGCCTTCGCACTATGGCACCTAATTATATGGTAGAGACCTTAAGTCCTTGTTTACCAGCTAAAGCTCTACTGTCAGTGTTCCAACCACAAAGAACAGCTCAAGGGCTAAGGATAACAAAGACTTTAACACCTTTAAATCTCCACTTAAAAATGTATTTGTGACATTTTTTTAAATAATTTGTTCTTAATGTTTTATTATCTTTTAATTGAATCTAGAACTTAAGCCTTGTGTTATGTTTCCACTCATTATTATTGCTGTCTTAATGAAAGAACAGGGTTGATTGCAGCCACAGAGGCATATGCTCATGAGAAAAAGTGGGACAGCAACAAAAAGCACCCTGAGATGTGGCTTGAGAGTAATGCAAGCCAATTCTCCAGAGATGTAACTTGAGGAGGGGAAGGAGAAACTGGGGCGGATGTTATCTAGACATGCTTTTAGATCAATGTGGTCAGGGATCAAAACCCAACAAAATGGCATGAAGGAACTAATCTCAAGCAAAGAAAGATAGAGGAACATGTAAGGCAGGGTATGTCAAAAAGCCTAAAGTAAAGTTCAGATAACCTTGAACTAAAAACTTCAGCTCCTGTGCGACTGAACTCAAATACTTCATAAAGTCAACAATCGACAGCAATAAAACAGTACACAGCACTTTGACCTTACCCAAGCAGAGTTTGACTGGTTGAGTTGGTTGAGCATGACCACGGCTGTGCAACCATAGTCAAAGACCAGCCTCCAAAAGTCTGCTGTAGTCCCAGGCAGAGGGTGAGGGGTCACAATGAAAGCGGCTTGCCGGTGGAAGCTGTCAGCGAGAGCAGCATTGATGTAATTGTTGCTCTCCCCTTCTGTCGTAACCAGGAATGCTAGGGCGCGATCAGGCGGCAGAACATCCATGCTGCGGTTCTTCTCCCGGTTTCTGGGCAACAGAGCAATACTGCACTCTTCCACATCCAGGTGAGGAGTTACAGAATTGAGTGTCTGCAAATGGGAGTAAGGGGACGATAAAATGAAATTTGAAAAGAGCGTTTAAAAGATGTGAGGCATCTGTGGTGAGACACAGAAAAGGAGTCAAAGGTGCAAGGAAGGGGAGGAAATAAAATGAGGGGATCAGACAAATGGAAGGAGGACTGGGATGCAGAGAATGCCTGCAATCCAATAGTGTTAATTGAAGGAATCCTTAATACCAGGAACACAATGTTGACAAACTGATTTAAAAGAATAAGGAATAAATTAGGCCAACAGCTTAAGAAAAGATGTAATAAATTTAAAAAACCCAAAAGGAAATATTACATACATTTTCTTTGATGAACTCTCAGTTCATTTTACCATAATTGCATTAGAAAAAATACTTGGATCATTAATACACCGCATCAATAATAGATGTGTGACGTGCTGATTTCAGTACTACCAGTTGGCTGTTTGCTGTCTGCAGGATGACAGAGTAAAAGGCAAACAGAGTTCACTGGCAGGTGGAGACGCTTTCAACAATAGCATCTGACGGATACCTTTACAAGATCAAAGTGAGATATGTAACGTTTTCCTTTATTAACAATTTATAATCAAAGTGTCGTACTGTACCGCCTACAGGACCATTCCCTTTATCTAAAGCAACACACCAATCACAATTTCCATGTCGTGTTTAATGATGAAACAGTACAAAATTTAAGGAAGAGCATGAGCCTTTTTCAGTTTCACTTTGAAATGCTAAACTGGGAATCAATGTGGCTGTTGGCTGAGCACTGCAGAAGAGGGAGGTGAATGAAGCAGGTAGAGGATGTGGGAACACAGCTGGCTGTCCTCTGTTCTAATCAACACCTAATAAAAAGTTCGGAGAACACATTCCTACAAACCAGGCAGAGGTTTTCAACAACAGTCACACAGCATCAAAAGTGAAAGGAGACCAACATTATCCTATGCACACACTTATGGATGTATATATGAGACACGCGCGCACGTCTATCCATTTGTATATTCTGTTTTCTGCACCTTGTTTATTTTAAAATGTCTGTGTAATCATCTGTTGTTTATGCAACCGTATGAATATCAAACAGACTGTTTTAACTTAACTGAGCAAATACAGAATAAAGTGCACAACAGAATATACATATGTACATACTGTATATGCAAATACAATACTCTCCAATTTGTATACAATGGATCAACAATGTGGTTAGCTCTAGCTGTGACTGTATCACTTTTACATTAAAGCCAATCGATTTAAAACTGTGACATTTACTAATATTATTATATCATTATATTAGTGGCAGAAATGGTAAAATTAGTAGCACTAGTATTAAAATGTGTGACTACATGGACGACACATCTGTGCCTTTTATTCATGGTATTAATTGTAGTACGCTAGTAGCATTTGTAGTAGCACTATAGTACATGTAGTAATATGAAGAGCAGCACTATTATTATTGTTGGCACTTAAAGTTAACTGTAGAGTTAGAAGTGACAGTAATTTCCATTAGCTGAAGACATTTTGTACATGGTATTTTAAAAAACTGCATTATAAATGCAAATCATTGTGTGTGGGCTGTGTAATTAAAAATATGAATCTGCATGCTTCATATTTTAATAAACAAACATTTCAACAAAATGAAACTGTACTGTACCGATCAAGGTCCTGCTGCTCTACCATCCAGCACAAGACTGACCTGGAACTCTTCCCGTAGTTGGGAGGAATTACTCTGGGAGTCCACTCGCAGCATTTCCTTGTAAGTGACGGCAAACTCGTTCACCAGGATGGCCGTCTCTCCACAGAGACAGGCCTCCAGAATGGCATCATGGATAAAGATATACTGCTCCTGAAAGGACAACAGGTAAATGAGCACTGGTTATGTGCGCAGGACAGGTTATGTTATACAGACAGGTTATGAACATACAGTATGTAGATGTAAATAAAACAAATAAAGTGTAGAACGGCATGCAGAGATCCTTCATAACCTGCCTTGTTCTGAATTAACCATTTACAATAATGGTGGTGGTGTATCAAAGCTGATGGAGAATAGATATTTCTAAGTAAACAAACACATACCACATGCATTTAAATAGAGTGCCACTGTTGCAAATAACTACAAATGTAATAAACAGCTAAGTCAATGTTAGATTTACATAATAAGGGCTCAATATGTAAATTTTCTTCACATCTAAAGAGCACGTGCCTACACAGCACACTGAGCCTTTTCTCTAAAATTACTGCAGTGACCTATACATAAATCCCAGAGGGGGAGTATGATAATACAGTACACCCCCCCAACCCCCCCCTCACTCTTTGATTTTCCAAACAACATGAGGGAAAAACAAATGTTTACAAAACCTAAGTGTTCAGAGGTTCTCCAGTAGAGGAGAGCAGCTGGGATATTATATCCAGTGGTGTAACCTAACCAAACTTAGTTTGAATGTGAAGTGGCTTCCTGGCTATGCAGTTGACCTGACCTCTGTCTGAATCATGTTGATGCGTCGAGAGCAGAGGGTTTTGACACAGTTGTAGATATCCACCACGCCTTCACACTCGGCCATGTCCAACATTACATCCAGCACGATGTAGCAGCCTGTGCGGCCTGCCCCCACACTGGCACAAAAATAACATCTTTTGTTAGGAATCATGCACACACCATAAGACAATAATCACCATTTCAAGTTAGTAAAATGCTGTTTAAACTTTTCAGAAGCATGATTGGTCAGAAACACAGAACAAAACGAGAAGATGGTGGTGATTGCCAAGCTAGCACTAGTTTGGCTCAGTATCCATTGTAAAATACATTTCTGCTTGAAATCGCTGAAAATTAAGTTTTGTTCTTTAACTGATACTCCCATGAAAGATTCTGAATTCAAATTTAATAAAAGCTTTTCTAAGCCACCAAAAAAAGAAATTTCAGAATGTCAATGTCACATTTTGTAGTTTTAGGTTAAACACCTGAAACAATGTCTGTGGCTAACACAAGGCCAATATATTTTCACACTTTGTTCAACAAAATAAATAAATGTCTGGTATATTAATCGTCATCATGCCTCATCTGCTTACTAATCCACCTTTCCAGCCTCGTTATGTTTAAACTTGTGAATCTGCAAACTATTCTAACTAAATGGCACAGCCATGATCAGCCAGACCAGGTCATACTAAGAGGAAACAATCTTGAAAAAGAGCTAAGCGCACTAAAGTAATTTACAAGTTGGAAGCCATGGCTATGATGTTGAAGTCATGGGACCATGGTGTAGTTTGTTTATACCCTAATAATAGCTTTTTACCTCTACTGATCGTATTTGGGCTTCAAAAATCATAAAAGTGGTGTTCACTTGTGACAAAAACATGTAAGTGTCATAAACCGTTGTTTGTCACAGTTTGTTTTCTGCAATAATCCAAAAGCCTATGAAAAACTCCATTGGTTTTTGTCAAGGGAATCAGGAAGATGCTAACTTGCAGGTTGGTCTACAAGGATATGGATTAGGATAAGGATAATCACTTTTATTGGCCAAGTATGTTACACACAAGGAATTTGTTTCCGGTACAGAACCGATGGCAGCCATCTGCAGCGCCACCTCAACCAATGGCTCTAACCATCGGGGGCAATGGGGGGGTTCAGTGTCTTGCCCAAGGACACTTCGACACGTGGACTGCTGGCACCGAGATTCGAACCTTCAACCTTCTGGTTGGGAGACGACTGATCAACCCACCACACAACTGTCGCCATCCTACGGCACTCTCTCTCTCTCTCTCTCTCTCTCTTTATTTTTACATAACAAATACTCTAGCTAGCAAGGCCAAAATAAAAAAAAAGCCTACTGATGCTAAAGGCTGCCACAGTCAGTCACAACCTCAGTTTAGTGTTCCAAAGTGTCCCAAAAGACATTACAGTTTATTACTAATCTATTAAAATAAATGGCATAATTAACATAGTCTAAAATGATCTATCTAGAATTCAAGTTATTGTTGGTTTGGTTTTATAACACTACAGCAGCTACAGCTGTTGCTACCTGCAATGGACCACCACAGGGCCAGCATCGGGAGGTGTAGAGGCTTTCACTCTTCGTATAAAGGCCAGCAGCCCAGTAGCATGATAGGGCACGCCGTGCTCAGGCCAGGATGTGAAGTGAAACTGACGCACCTCATGCTTGGCTGAATATCCTCTCTGTCAACAGAAGCACATTATGCATTAGCATTACATGTAAAAATACAACATTTATGCGGCTTGTACACTAGTCATTCTAGCCTACAGGCCATCATTTCAATCAGGACATGCCCTCATCCAGAGATGATAGATGTGGCAGATTTTTTAGTTCAGTGTGAGGACAACCAGGATATTATTTATGTAGGATGTTAGGTCTTCTAGGATAGTTAGGCCTCTGGGCTTCACATGCTAGTAGCAACTGCAGTGTGACAGACACAGAAAGAAATCATTGAGGCTCTCAGAGCTCAGGAAGGGCTGGGAGCTTTCTTCCCTCTACTAGGAGGTTGCTGCAGTCACACAGCAATTTCTCCCTCTGACAAAGTAAAGCGATGCAAAGCAAAGATTTGTTAAAGACTGAAATCTAGAAAAAAAACGAGAAAAGAGCTTTGAAAAACAAGCTGTCACCAGCTCCCATATTCATGACGATTTGAATAAGCAGCAGCAGTGTGCCCATGGAGACATGTGACAGTGTGATGATAATGCTGTGTTTGTACCACTGTCACTCCAGAGCTGCTTTGAGCCCTTCCAATGAGAGTTCCCTGGGGAGACTGACAGGATCAAGGCCATCAGAGGCACAACACTGTAACAGCTATGTTGGAAAGATGGCAGGAGCATTCACAGAGCTACTGGTGTTAATTCCTCTCTATTTAACATGTGGCCCTCATGCGCATCAGCACTAAGTCCTGTCAAGTCTCTAATCCTGTTTGCAAGTGTACTGCTTCTAATTATAATTCTCACTTTACCAGGTAACAGGAAAGCATGGCTAATATATCTTCAACAAAAACTAAGAGAAACAGATGGTGCCCATACAGAATATGCTGTTAATAGTACCACAGTATTATTGAAGCAGCAGCACATTATAGAACAGTGAATAATTGAGAATATTACAAGTATGAACAAATGCAAAACATAGTACCTAGGCAAAATGTAAACTCACCCTCTCCAAGGCAAAGGTGCGAACTGTGTATTCAGCCAGCGTCTCTGTCTTAAGCAGAGTGATTTTAATGTCACCGTACATCTCACTGTCATCCGGCCAGTATTTACAACATTTCACCTGTTTAAAAATAATGAAGCAACAGTTAAGCCTCATGGTAACATTTCTGAAAAATCCACCTGCGAAAATGTAGGTGCACTGTGAATTAATTAATCATTTTGTTGTGAAGGCTTAATCCCCCCCCCATCCCCCCAGTCCTCTTATATTAAAGAGAACCCTAACTTTTGAAAGGCCAATGCTGTTGACCTTAACATATTCAATCAATAAAACCATCACAGGACAATATGAACCAGTGAACACTTTAATGGCCTCAAGTCTAGTCCCTCATTTAACCTTTTGAAGTTAAGATGCATAATTTAGAAACTGGTACTGTAATGCTTCCCTGTTAAGGAGCAATTTCTCTAACTCTCCTCCTCTCTTTGACAAAGATACTTTACAAATTCCTATAGAGAGCAGATGATTTACTTCCATGAAATGTCCATTCTCTGCTACTGAACAATGCTGGTGGGAGTGTTCAGGTCACTGTGCTCCTGCTGACTTTGTCAATTTAAGTAAACAACATTATCATGCCATCAATTTTAAGCAACAATATGTCATTTTCCCTTGGTCTGGACCAAATGAACTAAACTACAGAACTGAAAAGATGTGAAAAGCACAATTGGTAACATACTTACTCTTTTGTATTTCATAATTTGAAGGATTATTTTTAACAATTCATCTGACAGTAAAAAAGATAAAATATTACCTGCATCATTTTAAATTATAATTAAGTGATTGTCATAAAAATATTGTCATTTATTTGTTGGTTTAACTAGAATATGATTGTGGAGCTGAAAACATACTGTACAGCAGTTACACTTCAAGTGTCGTGAAAGAACAAAGACAACCTGTTCCTCTGCAGATGTTTCATCTCAGAGGACGAAGAAAAGAAAAGCACAATAATCATATAATGGTGGGATGCATAATGAACAGGAGGGCAGCAATCTTATTCACCAACACCAGACACAAAGGAGGTAATTCTTTTGTGAATTTTGAGGATGGAGAACCAAATTGGATATAGGGCTACTGCTAGAAAAATGGTGTTATTTTAACCATCCTGTGAGGTAATATGTTTTTCTTGCCTGGACTGAAAAGGACGGGATACAGCACAATTCATACCTACAAGTATTTATGTGAGGTGGAAAATAACAGTGTTCGAGTACCGCAATTATACTCATGTTGTCATGCATGTACTGTATAAACAAGGACAGATATATATGGCTCAGAATAGGTTTACATGCAGTACAAGTATTTTAAAGCATATGTAATAGCCTATATGGTCACTGCAATCATGAGTACACCATTGCTGTTTCATGTTTTTATTTTGTCATAGCAGACAGGTACTGCAAGTGTTGCTGCTTTAAAATGCAAATGTTCAATGAAAAATTCGCAGAGATTTGCTTAAAATATATACTTTTGATAAATGCTGATATTCAGTTGTTAAGGGAATATTTTGACATTTTGGAGAATGTGTGTATTCGCATTCTTTCCAAGAGTTAGGCGAGAGGACTGACACAATCCTCGTTTGCTAAATGTGAAGCTAAAACAAGTGGCTGGTTAGCTTAGCTCAGCATAAAGAAAGGAAACAGTGGGGAGCAGCTAGCCTGGCTCTGTCCAAAGCTAAGAATATATGTCTACCAGGATCAACAAACAAGATGTAAAATGTTAACTAGCTAGTAGGGATGTAATGATACCAAAGGGCCACGGTACAATACTGCCACAACAAGTCCACAATATGATATTTCTCATGAAATTAAAAAATGAACAAAAAAGATGAAAACAAAATGCCCTTTAATAAATAATAAGTTGGCATTTAAAAGATAATGTATATGAAAGTGTAGCAGTCGGTAGTAGTCATTTTATAAGATCAAATAAAATAATATATTATTGCAGCAACTGGATCTTGTAAACAAAACAAGTAACACTTACAGTGGAACACCAGTGTCTTAGTAGCCCCTCGGCAGGTTTAAATATCCCTGTTTGGTGGCTGTACCGTTCTCAGTCGACTACAGGCCCAGTTGAAGTGGGTATCACCCACTACTGACCACTGGTGGAAGTACTGAGCAAAGTGCTGCTTGGTGCACCAAAATGAGGAGAAGAAGTTGCCAAACTAGAACGAGCTGCATAAGAGTGAGATCTGTACTTTACTGGAGGTGTTTTAAGAACGTTGTGGTCTACTTTTTCATGAGAAAACACTTTTAAGGGTGGTTACTAAGTTGTTGGTTTTGCATTGGTGCATCCAGTTTGTTTGCCCATCTTCTTTAAAGTGTTGACACAGTCAAGTCCTGATTGTTTCTGCAAGATGTATCCAGGACTGTCTCATTCCTAAACACGGCTACTATTGCCTATGTCTGGCAGTATTTGCAAATTGTTCAGTGTTTATCAGTTTCCTTTCTGCTGGTGTCATTTCTTGAAATGGGAAAACTGAAATGCTGCCACACAACAGCTCTAAAAGTCAATGATGGAGCATCTGCTATGTCAGTTTCAAATTCTGACCAGCACGCTGTTATACTAATGAAATAACCATATGTAGATACCTTCATAGTCCCACGACATTATCGAGACATTTATCTATCATGATATCACCAAATTACAAATATCATTACATCCCTACTAGCTAGTGAGCTTTAGAGGTACTGTATATCAACATGCGAATGGTATCGATCTTCTCACCTAACTCCAGCATTGCAAAAGCAGTTTGTGATATGTGGTTTCATATAACTACACAGCATCTTCCCCAGAGTGAACACCTTTTAGGCTGCAGATTGCCTGCACACAAAGGTCCTGTGAGATCTATACTTAACAAACACATGAAAAACTTTTCATACAGACAAAAAATATAGGATGTTTCTGAGCAACGGTTGCTGACATGAGGGGGAGCAGGAGAAGAAAGTGGGAGTGCACATCACTTACCCTGCCAACCTCCACCAGCTTAGTGATCATGACAATGCTGAAACAATTTTCCTGCCACACCATCCTCCAAAAATCATACAAAGTCTCCTGCTTGGGTCCTAGTGGGAAGAGCGAAGAAACAACAGAGAAAGAGACGAGAACGACAGCATAAAAGCCTGCCCTCTCAATAGGGGAGTTTTCTCGCTTGCTGAAATCTTGCATTACTGCAACCCAAGTGTCCTTTCTCAGACAGCAGGGTAGTGATCGCTCAAGATTGTGCCATCAATTGAGTTATTGGGAAATACAGGCAGAGGGGAAAGGGGAGATGAGTGGCAAAACAACAGGAGCTGATGATGAAAGCCACGAGAACCATCGGTCACTCACTTCCATTTGAGAAGGAGACATTTAGGAAGTGAGACACAACTTTTAAACAAGGATCAAAATGCTCAGACAAAAGAAAATGCTGTCAAAGTCATTTCCCTTTCTTGCAAGTTTCGTCCACATCTCCCTGTCTCTCTACAGGGGGACGAGGAGGTGCTGGAGCAAGATAAGCTAATGAGCAGATCAGTACAAACTGACTCTCCATAGGGTTTAGAAACGGAACATTTTAAACACACACAGAGTTTGACAGGCCATCAGAGGTGGTTCTGTATTTGAGCAGTACCGTGTGAACTAAAGGTTCTCTCTCCGACAATGAACACACTGCTTCACATGTCACAGGGATTGAGAAGCTATAATTAATGTGCTTAATTATTCACCTCTTTTTCATGATTAATTCAGTGACACCACTAACAGCCTTCACGGGCTGGTGGTCACACTGTCACCCTTAGATTTTCCAGAGAGATTGTTTTGGCAAGGGAGTGTGTATGAGCAAGCTCATTGGCTGGATCATCTTCAGTTTATTACACCGTGACAAAAGGTACTCACCATCCTGAATCCATACACATACGCACACAGACACTATAGCCTTGCTGGGATACTCACCCTGAGTGGCGATGAAGTGGTTGGATCGATGATAGCCCTGAAAGAGAGGAGAGGGATGACATGCTGAGTAAGCCATCTGCGCCTCAGGCACAGCTGTATGGGAGGGTGTCTCACTGTCTCAACCTTTTCCTCCCCTGCTCCTCTGCATTCTGCTCTCCTACTGACCCACTCTCTGCAACTATGAAATGCATTTCTATGAAGCTTTCCAGCACCATCTGACCTATTGCTGCCTCCAGACCATGACTTTGCCCTCAGAGGCTCCACAGAGTTTGGAGCAGTTGAGGCAACACATAGTAAATATTAAATCTGACAAACTGCTGATAAAAAAAAAAAACGTTGGGCTAGCTGAGCGAACAATGCCTGAATCCCTGAGACAGTTTAATAAAAAAACTAAAGGTGCACACTCTTCAATTTGAGGTGTCCAATTTATTTATCAAACTCTCAGAGTGCTGAGAGAGTACTATCCCATATAAACAAATCAATTTTCACCCAGATGCAATATGTTCTCTATCTGGGATGATGAATTAACAAAACGCTTTTTTCCAGAAAAACTCCTCTTTTAATTCTTTGACTCTTGTCACAAGTGGAAGACCATTTTACACAAAAAACTTCTAGAGCAAAATATTTGGAAACACTTTACAGTAAGTGTACAACATATATACTTAAGTAATGATTAACTAATGCATGACTGATGATCATTTAATGAATGAATGAATGCCAGATGTATCATGAGTTCCTGTTACCATTAACAAATGATCTATGATTAGTTCAGACTAAATAGGTCATCACTTAAGGAACATTCATTCACATTTACTTCATACATTTATTGATGTGCCAATGTTACTGCATTCCAGTAAGACAAAGGTTTATTTCAGACCCATGCATTTGATCAGCCTCTCGATAACCACATCAGTACCTATCCTAATGGAAATACTGGACATGTACAGAAACACAACGGTCATCAGTCTCATCCGAGACAGTGACAAGTAGGAACTGAACAACTGGCCCTGTGGTGCAGTCGCAGCAACCTGGAGCTGAACATGCTCAAAACAGTAGAGATGTCAGTGGACTTCAGATACAAAACAAGATACAGGAAACACCTCAGTGCAGTAACTTGGGAAATAATCACTGTACACACATAATATCTTGTTTTTAATTTGTATATACCGTATGTACATATTTATCAAAAGATCGTTGTTTTGTCTCCTTGATTTTACTAATTAATCAACTTTTATTTTAATTCTATTTTATACTAATGCACATTGCGGCCACTGAACTGAGTCAAATACCTTGTGTTTTAATATATGTGACAATAACGACTGAACGTTTTTTTGCTTGTTGCTGACCCAGTTGTATGTATGTACTGTATATACTGTATGTATGACGGTGTGGATGTACAGTATGTCACATTTACAAGTTAGACAAAATTATAGGAAGGTCAGAAAACAAAATGCCAGTGATATGTCTAATTTGTTAAATTGCACCTGTTGAATGATTTTGGTTGTATTATTTACCATATTACACACAACGTCAGCAAAAACAGTTTTTCCTATTTCCATTAGAATAGATACAATTCTCCTGATACAGGTCTCTGAACCTAATTTGGTGGCACATCAATTAAATGTATGAAGTAAATGTGAATTAATGTTCCTTAACTGATTACATATTAAGTCTGAACTCACAGAAAGCCACAGTGACTTGATCATTTGTGAATGGTGAATAACAAGAACTCATGATACGTCTTGCAGTAATTTATGCATTAAATCTTCATGAGTCATGCATTAGTAAAACACTACTTTAGCATATGATTTGTACTCTTCTTGTAAAGCGTTACTAAATCTTACATATACAGTGAGCTGGTCTGAGATCCTTTATATCAAAAGGTGAGGCAGCCTTTGATATAGATGACAAGACGTTTTCATACAGCGAGCATGAGGTGAGTATGATGAACAGTGAGATGCCACCTCTGTAGCCTTGAGGGGAATCAACATGACAAGGGCCACTTGAGGGATTTAAAATACTGCTCAAAGGATGCCCTCCTGAAAACAAGAGATGCTTATCTAAGCTCATGAGATAAATGAGACACCTGTTTTCTGAACAGATCACCTAGAAAACCACATGGATGTTGTGGTTCACTGTTTGTTGTCATTTTGAGAGGAGCAGCTGGGAGGATAATTGATGCCCTAATTACCTCACATGACACTGTAGAGCAGAAAAGGCAGGTCAGAAATAATCGGAATAAATTCCCAAGCCCACTGGCTCTTATCAAATCGGCATGATAGGGCAATCCACACTGATAACAGTTTTTATCTTTTTTGCAGAGGGCATCTTCCTAATATGCTGAGTCTGTCCACGTCGCTAATGGACTGCTAAACTGAACCGCATCCAGTCAGATAAACAGGAACACATCTGAAATGGAGATGAATGACCAGTGCTGTGAGGCCTTCTACCCACAATTCCTCTGGCCCTGGCTAACACTAGCATGAATGCTACCACTCCTTCACTTAGGACGGTCACCATAGCAACTAAACTTCCTGAGTCGTGGCCACTTATGAGAACTAACAAAGACAGTGGGTCCTCTATCCGGAGAGGACATATCTCCTTGTGTTCACTTAAAATCATTAGCTAAAAGGGGGTGTTTTTTGTTTGTTTTGGTCAAATGCACACTAACCTGAAATCTGACACACTCTGACCTTTGAGCATTTGTGGATAGAGGACAGTGGAAAGAGAAGAGGGATGTAGGAGGAAAACGGGGGAGAAGAGCAAAAATAGAGCGATGGCAGGCAGAAGAATGAGCAGTGAAGTACTTACTTCCCTGTTAATCCGAATCTACAGGGTCCAAGGTCGAGGAAGTGGGGAGGGGGATATAGAAAAAGAAGACATATAGGCTAGTTAATGAAAGAAGCTTTTAGTATGAAGGTGTTATGGTTGCAGATAGGTGGAAAGAGGTGTGTGTGTGTGTGTGTGTGTGTGTGTGTATGTGTGCGTGCATGTGTGTTTATGTGTGTACAGCAGGACTGGGCTTTATATTTCAGAGCACTGGCTTTTTTTTAACCTAAGGGCATTGTTTTTCCATTTACTCCAATGTACTAGCTGCTTTTTTCAAATTAAAAGTATCTATTTTTTACTACTTACAATTGGGATTTTATGTTTAAGTACAGCAGAAAGCCTGCTATGCCTCACACATACTGTATATTTAGCTGCTACTGTAATTGCAAAATAAGGCTAGCTCGCTGTTTTTAAAATATGGCAATAATCTTTTCATTTCATTTTAACGCAGTTGGAAGCACACACTATATGACTAAGGCTTGTTTTTAATCTGGTTGGCAAAGGTACTTATGGAGTAACAATGCTGCATAAGTAATGACTTTTTAAAGCCCATGAAAACTTTGTTTCTAATATTAAAATGGCAGTAAAACAATTTAGCTTTGATGTCAGGCTCACAATGAACAGTTAAAAAGGAAGGAGAGAGAAAGAGTGATAGAAGCTTTTTAATTCTACATAATCTTTCAAAACCCACAATGCAATTCAACTACCAACAGTTCAGTTAGAGATTTAGGTGTATTATGCTAGTAGTGGATAATGTAGCCTGGAGCTGCTAGCTGCAGAGGTGAGAAACGAGCTACAGAGGCCTGGTAGGTTCATCTCTTTCTAGCTCCACACCTCAGATTTGTGGGCTTCAGTCCCAACCAATGCTGACTCACGTAAAATCACTTGAGGCTATTTATCAGATTTCGAGCAGCTCCCCCTGGAGCCACAAAATACTTTATACAACTTTGTTCAACATTCACCAAAATCTGTAAAAATACTTTTGATTTCCAAAATGGGTGGAGTTATTCATGACTACAGACTACAACAACCAAAGTGAAAGGTAAAACTTATTAGAGTTAGTTAACAACTCAACTGTTGACACAGATTGATCGGACTTTATGAATAATAGCCTGGCAACAACACAAACAACCCAGCAACTGTTATCAGATTCTGAATCAAATGTTGCTAAACTGACTGGTCCACTGACAGACAGGACATCACTGTTTTACAATTGAGCCCAGCCCAATTCAAAACATTGAGAAAAGCAAGAAATTAAATAGGGAAATTTCTTTTGAAACAATCAAACTTGTTCTAGCCTCTTCAGAAGATTGTGTGTAGGACCCATGACTTATAGTTTAAGAAGGTGACTAAGAAAATAGATTTTCAGGGCTTTAAGGTAAACTGACAAGGTAAGATGTTGCTACTATTTTGATGGTGCATGTGTGTCTCTGTGTTTCTGATAGTGTGCCCATTCTACCTGACAGTTAGACCGCGGTTCTCTTTAAATACAGACCAAATGAATAAATAAAACTGGAAATGAAAATCAGTAGCAGCCATGACACATCGCATTTGCAGCAATCATATGTAAAGTTCTGCACCTCTTCAAGCAAACCCACACCATGTGGGCAAAGGCTCAGACAGGAAATCGAGCACTTGGACTTTCTCACTTCTATTTTCAAAGTGTAATAATGTTACAATGGGAGCAAAAAACTTTTCCATTTAACCTGCACTGAAATAATCACAGGCTGTCCTGCATATGCACCGCTGTGACTAAGTACTATTTAGCTTAGCGGGTCAACCATGTCAGGGAGTAACATCACTGACACAGACACTGTAGTGGCTGCTGAGCAGTGCTTTCCCTCTAATGCCTGCACCTCTGCGCTTTAAACGCTAATGGAGACAGTCACAATAACTACAGTCCTATCAATGCACCAGGTTTTTAATGCTCTCTCACTGTAATAAACTCTTGAAAAGCATCTGACCACTAGCCATTCTCTACAGAGAAATAAAAAGAGAGGAAAAAAAAGCTCTTTCCAGCATTTCCACCCAAAATCAAGTCAACACAGTCCACACTGAAAAAATGATATAATTTATTTTTCAAATATATATTTTTATGAAGATTGTGACTGAGATATTGTATCATTCAAAACAAGAGTGGGAGTACATCAGCTTCTCACAGAGTGCCATATGCACCTTACAGTAATCCCAAATGAGAGGGATGCGAAATAAATCTTTTGAGATAAATTGTATCAGATCCCTTGACATAACTCAAACAAAAAGCAACTATCACAGCTAATTCACAGGGGAACCAAAATACGAGGCTGTCTAAAGTATATCTAGTAGGAAAATTGAGTTTTTTCAAAATCTGGGTTGTTTTTTTATTCGTTCTTTCTTCTTCTGCTTTCTGAATAAACACTGCCTCCTCTTAATGAATGAAAACACATGAATGACTGTGTGAGACACATTAGCAACATATACTGTACATGTATTTCTTATGGTTAGTGAGAATGTTACTGTGGCAGACAGTAAAGGTGGACGGTGGAAAGGATCATCTCCCCTCGGCCCATCAAGAGATTGAATAATGTCAATCACGTCTATTTAATTTAGGGGGATTTGTGGCATCGTACAGAAAGGTTCATCTCCTCTGCAAGGAATTAAATACCTTTTTTCTGCTCTGTTGTAATAAAAGTGACAGCAGAGGTAGACTGGGTCAGGGATTCTCTGCAGCAAGTGACAACAACAGCAAAACACTGCTCAGAAGGGTGTTTGATTAGATGAAAGCTTCCAGGTAAAAGTGGGCCAGCGGCTAGTGGGCTTACAGGAATGACAGAGATGGACTGTGGCTTAGCAGGGTGTCAGAGATAGAGATTCAGCAGAGGCTGATGATCTGTATCCCATGTCGTGCAGAGGCAGAAAAGCAAGATTAGACTTACATCAATGTAGTTAGCATTAATGTAGTCTGAGTTGGGGTCTCCCAGGAGAGGGTGGAGCTTGACTCTGTGGCGGTCATCTGAGACAGATAAAAATAAAAGCGCACTGTTGAGATACAAACTTTAAACAACGTTTTCCTTTACTTTTCAAAGAGGATCAAATAGGTTCTGATTACTTACATCCAAGCAAGGTGTCATGCCTCCCTTTGGTTTTGTCTTTCTTCTTTGTGCAGTCCCAGCCATCAAAGAAGCTCTACAGGATAAAGAGACTCTTGTTGCAGATTTCAAGAACAGACTTTCTTACTTTAACCATTCAAATATCTCAGACAATCACAGCTTCAACACATTTTTCTCTTCTTTAATGAGTGTCTCATGGTTTGCATGATTAAAGCCTATCGACATCTCTCATGTATTGCTAACGTGTAGAGACTGTATAATTAAAGAAATAATGAGTTGCACAAGCATCGTGTAGCCCCCATGACTCATAGTCACCTGTTGTATCCATTCTTGTTAGAGCCATCAACAGTTAAAATGTTGGTCAAAAATTTAAACCAGTGGCCTCATTTCCACTTAAACAGTGTGTTTTTCTGCTCTAGCCTAAGGTGCAATTGCTAGCATGTCCCACTTATTACCAGTGTTACCAAAACTACTATATGGAGCACATCACTGGCTATAGTATATTAGTTTGTGGGTTAACAGGTTATGCTTGAAAAATAAAAGTCTCATTTACAACCACAGTAACATCCACTGTGTAGTTTTTTTTTCTCACTGGGTGGACCTGGATGGCATCAGAGCTTAGAATAATGCTTGTTTATCTGTTTTCCTGGGACATACAGCTTTAGCCTCAGTTTTTTAATGATATCAGAGCCATTAAGAGCAGAAGACTCCTTTATAGGGCTCTCGTTTTAAAATGCAGCAGATGGAAACACAAACAGGTTAGCTGGAGACAGTACTTTCAACAAATTCATGGCCCTAACTTTGGCTTAAATGGAATAAGCTAGCTAGCCATAGCTGATAAAACTTGATAACTGCAGCTGTTAAAGGTCACTGGCTAGAAACCAGATGCCTGCTTTTGTCATCCTCTGTCTGAAATCAAGGACCCATTATTTTCAAAAACTGCAAAAGATTTCAAGTGGTAAAATTGCTACCATTATTGTAAACTGCATATGCTCCCTGTGAAAACAGACACAAATAGAAAAAACAAACGTTAGCCTCTGAGGTATGAGTTGTCACAAAGATACAGTGTATATAATAATAATAATAATAATAAGAGATATAATGCTGTTGATGTTTACTGTTCTGTTACTTAGTGAATGTTCCTATATACTGTATAGTACAATCAGTGTCTGGTGAGATGACTGTTAATAGGAGTGAAGGCTGAGGAACTGTCTACCACCTGCCTGGTGGTATTATAGCACATCATACTCTAACATATCTCCTCATTCCCTATCATCTGCCTGTCTGCATGGATGCACCGGTGAGACATTCCTCTCACACGTCGTCATAAGCCACTTTTAAGCATCCGCTGTGGGGCCAAATTATTCCTGAAAACAGCCCCTTCATATCGAGGGACAAAAACACACATCCATACCAGTCTACCCCCTGAGGGTTTCAGCCACTAGGGGAATTTGGTGAAACCCTGCCCAAGACTGCATGCTGCGCAGGGGATTACAACACAGTTCTCCATACAGAGAGCCAAGAAGCAGCAAAATCCTGTCTGGGATTACATCCTCCTCCTTACTTTTTCCTCTCTTTCTCATGCACACTCTCTCTCAAGGTCTGTATCTCTCTCTAAACTCCTGCCTCTCTTTGCCTCCTTCAACCTCTCTGCCATTTCTTCCCCTTTCCACTTCCTTGTTCTCCTTGTTCCTTATATTTTTGACACTAGACCTCTGACTTCTCTTTGTTTCTGTAGTCCTACCGTTCCTCTGCTCAGCCCTCTAATGACAAGAGAGAAACAGGGAAAGGAAAACCACATGAAGAAAAACTGTGTGAGAGTGGCAGTATATTGAAGGGAAGGGAAGGAAAACAACAAAAATCTATGGAAAATTGATTACAAAGCGTCAGTGGCAGGGTTCAGTGGGGTGAGCTGCTTAAGAGGGTCATATAAAATGAGATAAAAGAAAATATGCTATATACAGTCTTGAACTACTGATGCTATTACGCTTTCAAAGCACTGTGCACCATCAACATCCCACTAGAATTCATCATGTGCATTTTTGTTTTCCTTCATTAACAAAGCAATAGCGGACATGTTGTCCTTTCACTTTCAGTAGGTGATCACTCAATAACTGTTATGTCACCTCACTCTGACATGTAATTTTCTCACCCCAATAAAGCGCCAAAAAACTTGATGAGATTCATAATCCCTCCACATTTCATCAAAATCCAATCAAATGTCTGAATGTTATTCATAAACCTATGAAAAGCTGAACAGAATATTTTAGTAAAAATAGAATCAATTTATGCAATCACAAGCATCAAGGACTGTACAGAATGTAATGTAATTTTGGGGTGCTTGACCTTTACTTGACTATTTTGATGCTACTTTATATATCTACTTCACTACGTTTCAAAGCAAAGAAATTGCACTTTTTACTGCACTACACTACACTTATTTGAAAGTTTTAGTTATATGGTAGATTAGCCAAGCCTCACCAGATCTAGAAAGTTTTGGATGGGTGGCACATTTGAAATACATGTAAAAAGCCAATTAACCCCCTAGTTCAATGAAATAATAAACCATACATAATTAAGAATCAGTTTATTTGATCTAAAAATGAGACACACAAGCTAAAGTAATTAAAAGTAATTTGACTAGTATCAGCCCTGCGATGGACTAGCGACCTGTCCAGGGTGTACCCCGCCTTCGCCTGATTGCCAGCCGGGATTGGCCCCCCCGTGACCCCGTTCAGGGACTAAGCGGTAGAAAATGAGTGAGGGTGGGAGTGAGTGACTAGTGTCAGTTATAAAGCACAAGAAAAATGTTATTAATACTACAAGCATCACATTTTGACTGTGGGTGGCACGAGGGCTGGCTAATCAGATTGCGGGGGTGGTCTGTCCCACCCCTGTCCACCCACTTGGCCCCGCCCATGCACCTCACCAGCTGCAACATTAATGTGAAGTTTACACATTAATACACCATTAATTATAATCTAATCTTATAATATTCTGAAATGGGTAACTCCTGTGATAGACTGGCGACATGTCCAGGGTGGACCCTGCTTCTCGTCCAATGCCAGCTGTGATTGGATCAGCCCCCCAGTGACCCTCTTCAGAATAAGCAGTATAGATAATGGATGGATGGATGGAAATAGGTAACTCTGCATAATGAGTACTTTTATTTCTACTAAATACATTTAGTTACTAATCATTTTGTGATTTTACATATAACAGAGTATTTCTAAACTGTTGTATTGGTACTTTTACTTAAGTAAAGGATCAGAGTACTTCTTCCACCACTGGGCAGCATGAGGTAGCTGCTGTTTCTTAAAATAAGCAGAGGAATTCAGTGGCTCTGCTACAACTAAATTTTGAATCCATCATCCTTCCTAAACTCAAGGTGCAAAATGGTATAATGAAAGTTTTGAGTTCTCCGGTAAGCTCTGCTGTTGTTTACTCGTAGGTTTCTGCAGTGGGAATATGACAGCAGCTGCCACACATACAGTACAAGGCCCTTTACAACTCACTGTAAATTCTTGAACAGTGTTTTTACAGAACAGAGGTATTCTTCAGGGAAATAAAAACTTATACCTGCCAGGGGAGTGTAATCTGGTACTCCTCATCATTTTCCTTTATAATAGAGCCTTTCCATCAAAACACATACTATAGCAGAAACAGAAAAAACCACACACAAAGAGGTGTGTATTGATTTTTTGAGTGGAGTGTGTTTTGCCCATGAGGGACAGTTTAATGAGTCTACAAGCAGAGTTCCAGAGGGGGAACTGTGAACCAGAGACAAAAGATGTTTTCTCTTTTTCATGTACGCCATAGGCCACGGGTGACAGGGGTGGACTTCTCCCCATGGTGTGATCTCAACTCTCAGCCACAATTGTTTTACTGATGAGAGGTATTCAAAGAGCTGGGCCCTCCATTATCTACCACTAGAGATAGCAACCACTGCAACACCAGGATAGGGATAAGCAGTGTTCTGGAAACATGTTATTGTACTTTCAGTATGGTTCAGTTCAGGACAAAATCTCCAAAAAGTAACGAACCAAGCACTGATCTGCCAGGCAAAGTCAAGTGATTTACAACAAATGACAACAGTGGTGCAAGAACATTTGGTACATTTCTAGACTTTGGATTAATGGTAATTCTCTTCCATATGAATGTCAAACTGGTAAGGCCAAATACTATCTAGATGATAGGATGGCTGATTTCACTGATCCAGATGAGCTTTAAGAATCTGAGCATCAGCAGGGAAATTATGGAGCATCACCAGACATATGATATCAGAGGGTTCCAACATCTGACCTCCAAATACAAACTCTATATCAGTCTTATATGCTTGATAGTTCGCCACTGTGAAAAAGAGAATGATCCGACTGTGCCTGTGGCCAATATCAAGTGCATAATGATATCTTGCCAAAATGATGTGCTCACATCAACATTTAACATGCACCATTCACAGCAATATTGCCCTGTGCATCACAGTTTGATGGTTATGTTTGTGAATGATAGAGCATTTAAGTTGCATGTTAATCAGCAAAGGGATGTAAATGTTAACACTGCTAATGGGAGGAGGATATATGGAGGTAAGGGCATAGGAACCAAGAGCTCTCTTTTCTCACATTTTTGCCTCCCTACCCTCTCAACTTTCTTCCCTTCTCACTCACTTCCCGCTTCCTCTCTTTGCTACCCTACAATCTACAATGCAATGGACAGTGGACTCCCTAGCTAGACCACCTCCAGAGACATTTAACCTCATGATGACAGTTATCTTTGGGCCCAAATAATAATGATTTATTCATATACACAGCAACAATGTGGTCCAGATGCCTTTTTAACCCTGCTAATTAATGTCAGTGGGTGGGGAAAAGGGCGTATAGATGATGTCAAAGGATAATTGATGGCCTCCGCACAACTCCTTTTTTATTGGCATGGTCTTTTTATAGCATTTTTGTGTGCACACACAGCAAATCAACTTCCTTTGGGGAAAATAAAATTCATCAATCTCTCATACAGCAGCTCCTACAATATATTTTTTAAGTTATCTTTTCAAAATCCACTAAGAGGATTAATCATTTTGACAGTCTCTATGATAGGTTTAAAGCTGGTCCAGGACGAAATCTGCACTGTCCCTGTTTGTGGGATTCTAGTTATTTTCCCTTGCTTCCCTAAATTCCTCAAGATCAATGCCTTCACTTCTTTCAGTACTACCGTACTAGCCTCTGTTGTATTAGCAGTGTCCAGGTTAACCAGGCGTGGAAGTACATCAGTGTCACCACTGTACCATACCTTATAAAACATGGCTATGCTTTTGTCTTTGCTACAACCTCCCCTTTGGCAACAAGCTCTGAGCAGAAAATGAAACAATGAGATCATGGATACAGGGAGTGCTTTACTGGTAAAGACAATCCCAGGTCACATCTTTAGTGATATGTAATGAAAAAATGGAGTGAGAGGAGACTTCAGGATGGGACACGTTTGAAAGGTGACACCTTCGAGAAAAACCCTCAGAAGAAGAAGCTTTCTGCTGTGACCTCAATCAAGTTAAGCTGTGGGATGGATTAACTGCAGGCTTCTAGTTTATTAAGTGAATCATAAGCTACTGATTGTAACAACGAAGCACTCACTATTCATATACACTAACCAGCAGCTTCTGTTAAAATGATGACCTTGTGCATCACTGAGTGATGTGAGCAGAGCTGCATTTTGTTTGTCTTTGATTGTATTTCAAAGACGTTTTTATGTCTTCCTACGGCTCCTCTGACACAACAGCTTCAGCGTGACACCTGTGTTTCCACTAAACTACACAGAAAACACTCTTCAGGGGAAGACGGAGACAAACAGGAAGCATTTCACTCCCAATGAGATCTGTAATACTATAACATCATTGGCACCTTAAAACAGAAATAACTAAAACCTTCAAAAAATTACTTGAAAATAACCCAATCGCTTTCTAATTTTCAGCCTGTAACTTGGAATAAAGGTGAAAAAGCCTCCAACTGTGACATTGGATTATGTATATTACTGCAGTTGGAATGTTCTTGCCTCTAATTTTCTCACACACTATATGCTGGGAGCAAATAGACCAATTACAGTCATGCTGTTGAATTTAAAGTGAAGGTTGGTGTTTAAAAATACAATCACAGTGTGAATACATAACATAACATAGTTATTTAAAATAATTCAGTCCTAAAGCCTCTCTTTTATAACTGTCCACAGCACCCGACACTAGTGCACCAGTGGCAAAACTGTTCAGTACTTTGTGCTGTTGTTCATTTCAAGTTCTCAGACTGTAAGACTAATAGATGTGTATGTTGTCTTCTGTTGTCAGTGTGTCACCTCGTATTCCTGTTTAAAGCCGTAGCCCTCGGCAGTCTTCATCTGGTTGATGTGCTGGAGGAGGTCGGCCACACGGACAGCAGGGTGGAGCTGCCCTGTGTGGTAGGGGGAGCCTTTACGTCCACACTGGTGCCTGGGCGAGCCTCCCAGCAGGCTACTGGCTTCATTCACTGAACTACGAGCATCACCTGAACCAGACACATATCCAATTTTAGTGCAACTGTGGTTGAAAATTTCATGCACAAGACAGGTTATGACATTAAACAACTTTTGCAACACTTTTCAGGTTCAAGGATTTTATTGTCAACACTTTTGTTCACACACTGCTGTTATCTTTTCAGAATACAGTATAACACCGCATAATGGCACTCTGCATGTTGGGGCTGACACACAAGGTACACGTTACAGGCATCAAGTGGATTTAGTTTGTCATAATAGATCAAATGCAGATGTGACAGTTGCTCTGTCTCAGATGGCATGACGCAGACCAGGATCTGCACCAGCTTTAGAGTAAACACATCTGTCATCACCTCTCTGTGACACTGACAATATCAAAAAAGAGATCAACATAAAAAGTACTGACAACAATCACAACTCATTTCTTTGGATTCATTCAAATCTCTTACTTCACCTGTACCATTCCCTTTCTTTCACAGTCTTGTGAGATTCTTTATCACCTGCAGACAGTGAATAGCTGAAGAATATATTTTACGCAGGGTGATAACTATCTTTCAGAATGATGCAGACATGGAGTGAATGATTGACGGCGAACAAGATTACAGTGTAAGGGATGATGTACTGTACCTCAAGTTTTGAAATTGCATTGTGTAGCTGTGGTAAGTTTTGTTTCTGTACAGTGTACTGTGTATGTGTGACTCTTGGTGTATCTTACTGCGTGTGCCGCAGGTGTGTGCATCCATGAAGGAAAGAGCCATTCTCTCATCCTCTTGTAGGGTGCTCTGGTCTGTGAAACTGCGCTCCATGGAGCCCATATGGCTCTTCTCCTGCCGGTAGGTAATGGGTGTCTTATTCATGTTCACTGGTTTCCTATTAATGGAGAAGAAGATGGAGGGACAATTCATATACAGGAGAGAGGTTGATAGACAGACAGAGATGGAGACAGAGACAGGGAGAAAAAAGAATGTTATGTTAGTAAAGAACACCATGGAGGTGAGAGAAACAAAGTGAAAAAGAGTGAAAAAGTCATCCCCCCCCCCCACACACACAACTTATGACGGACAGCCAGAGCACAAGCATGTATATGGTGGATCACAAAACGATGGAGAAGCAAACAGGTGAAGTCACTTACGGATAGTAAGAGTAGTAGTCCCTTCTGGTAAGAGTGCAGGAGAAGGAGAAAAAATAAAGAGAAAGAAGAGATGTAAGATGAAAGTAATGTCAGCTGAGGGCAGAATGCGCTGATTACAGTGACAATGAGAACCGTTGTCTTCATGTGCTCGGCTGCGGATGCGGGCGTATGACACATGCAAATGTACCAAGCAGGTGTTGACAGACCAAACTGCAGCGAGGCAGAAAAATGTGTGTTTCCTTCAATCAAATATGTCTCAGTGTTACACTCCACGGATTAGACCGCATGGCTTCCTGTCACAGCAAATTTAGCAATCAATTCTCTAAGAGCAAAATTTATGGAGGCTTAGTGTAGGAACCTGGACTGAAGAGCTGAGTAGTAGTGACGTTCAAAATCATTGTTGTTCAATGTTATATGGACACTGTGTCAGCTATTTAATAATGGCTGCTGTAACCCTGAGTAACTTCCCATTTGGCATGGTGAGGTCTTTAGATTTAAGTAAGACTTGAACTCAAGCCTCAAATAAGACTGGTCTGCAGCTGCAGCTACAGTATATCAATGCAGAGCCAGAGGTGAAGATGATCTACTGCAGACCTGTGAGATCACTGGCTAATAATCTCTAAAAGCACACCTTTTTCCCTCCTAATTACCATCTCATTTAAAGGTCAGGCCTCTGCTTGGTGTGTGTAATTAAGTGGCGAATTGAATTGCAACCGCCTTTAATTAAATACTTCACACTCAGATAGGTTCTGCAGAGAGAGTTGTTTGGTCCCCCTCATGCACCATAAGTGAGTGAAAACAATGAGGCACTGGTTGTTGGTCCAGCATCTTCCCTAAAATAAGTCTGACCTTCTAGAAAGTTCAGCAAACCTAAAAACTGAACGGTTCAGAAGCAAATCATAAAAGGGAAAATAATGTGGGAGATATGGAGTGATTTTGTATAATGAGGCATGTTTTATACTCAACAGTTATCAAGATGTTTACCCTTTCTTGATGATGATGATGACGGCACCCAGCAGCAGGATGAGTACTACCAGACCTCCGGCGCACACCCCGAGAATCAGACCCATCTCTTCTGAGTTTTGGGACACCTCTAGAGCTTTGCGGTGATCTTTGCAGGCCGCTAGAAGCAGAAACACAGACGCATATTAAAAAGACACCATGAAAATATTTAAAGTACATAAACAAATAAAGGTGTGGCAAAAATGAATCACAGGAAAGTTTAAAGCAGAGTTGGAAATCTGAATACGAAATTGGGAAATGTGAAAATTCACAGGTTTGAAGAACTTATTCATGCTCCAAAAAACTTTTATTTTCTTGCAAATGTAAAGGTTTCACATGACAATCCAGATATTCACATTGCTTATCCTGAATAGTAGAGCACTAAAAATCTAATGCCAAACCTACATTTGTTCAGAAGTGGTACTTTCAGGAGGTACAGTGATGGTCCAAGTCAACAAACCTCCACCCCACAGAGATATAGAGTACTGTATGACAACTTGTGCTTCACAAAGCAAAGTGTTTGGCTTGCAGGCAGAATAAAAGTTTGGTTGTCAACCAACTATTTAGGCAGATTATACTGATCACAGAACAGGAATGGAGGTGGGAAAATGAATAGATTGCTATGAATTAATATAGAAAAAGAAACAGCTGCAAATATGCCAGAGTAACACGGGGAACTCATTTTCTACAATTCATTAGTCACATACAAAAAAGGCTTGCAACATATTGTTCTTCCATCTATTGTTAATCCTAAAGTTGTACAATGAATTTGCAACAATAAACCTTGTGATATTGAAATTATACATTTTATAAGCTGGGGTACATGCACAGCACCTGAGGTGCCTTTCTATTCAGAACTGAATTAAATATTATATTCATTCACACAGTCAGCCACACAGCCCAGTGGTATAATCTCAAGGTGCTCTGCTGTCTGAGAGCTACTGGAAAGGTCGTTATCATAATAGCAGGTTATTCATTTCTCTGGCATAAAGCTTCATACTTATGTAAATGGTGCTGAGAAGTGGGCTTTTCTTTGTCTTGTTCTAGGGGCCCACTGATCTAGTTGTGTCTGTGTGTCAGCCTGTCCTCCAGGCTTTGACAGCCCTGGAACTAGCCCTTCTGAGTCTATTGGAACAGCCCAACCTATCTGGAGAACGGCAGAAAGTCAGAGCAGGCCTGGGGATAGAGCTCTAGCTTGCAGCCTGCTGGGGAAGAAACAGATCTGGGGCAGGATAAATGAAAACAGAACCATGTTTTAGCCCAACTATTTGCAGTCACGGGCACTTCATGGGCTCTTTAGAGCCCTCAGCCCAAATTAAAATGTAAGTAGGACAATTTGTCATTATTTGGCAGGATTTTTAATCAATTATAGATGTCTCATATATCAGAATGGATAAAATTAGCCATATTAGAAAGGAACTGCTCTTTCTAAAATTGCTCATGACATTTTTTTAGTTTTTTTTAGTTTCTATCCCTAAGTAACATGTTCCTAAAATGTGAAGGAATGAATGTGATTGTGTGTGTACTATTCAGTGTACAGACACCACAGTTTAATGTAGCGATAGGGTTTATCAAATGATTTGTAGGTGTTTTTGCATACAGGGAAATGCTATCGTCCAAATGGCTTTATGTGAACCAGCTGGAGGTCTGGAGGTGCTCCATTCGCAAAACAGCCTCATTCACAATCTGCTGTTTATTCTTTCTGTGACTTCATTTAAAATTACATCCTCAAGTGAAATACAGGGGTACTTTATAGTGGCTGCAAATGTAGATGAGGAGGTGAGAAATCAATTTTGGTTTTCTGACATTTTGGACAGATAAGGCAGTTTTTCCAGGTTTAGCCTTGAAATTTCTATTAAGCCAAACACGAGCATGAAATAGATTTCCACATGAATCCGTGCACCTGCCAGCTGCTCGATGGTGGAAATTGGCACTTAGAGGAGAAATGGAAGTCTATTGTTGTGTTGAGCCTGCCAGAGGATCCTTAATTAAACTGTCACCTGGAAGTTGAAATGTAATCTCCAGTTTTGCTATCCAAGCCAGAATCATTTGCCTCCACTTGTGATGGGCTGCTTGATAATAACAGCTTGGAACCCAATGATGCAGAGGCTATATTAATGGTACAGAGATCATGGAGATCACAAACACCAACAAAAAGCTCTGACCTGTCGCACCTTAAAATTGAAAATCACCCCAAGAATTTGTTTCATCCTGTACAACCCTGTAAGTAGATGATGTAATGCTGCCCTCCTCTCCTTTGCATAATCTGCCCTTCTGTTATTTCTGGTTTTGCTTTTTTGTTAATATTCCTCTTCTTTACTCAATCAAATTTCTAATATTTCAACTGTTAGAGCTGTATTGTGTGCTTCTTTTCTTTGCTTGGTGTCAAAGCAAAGAGGCAAGCACAGTGCAAAGCCCATTGCTGTGAGAAAGCATAATTAATCAATGCCCAACCGGGTGTCTGTGTGAGGCAGATGGAGTGAGACACTGAGCTGAAATGGCTGGCCTTGCCTTCTGGCTTTATGCTTGAGGAGAGCCTCATCTCTTTCATTTTTCACTCCCAAAAAAGGCCAAAAAAAGATGCCCCACAAAGTCAATTTACTTGCAAGGCTCTGCTTACTGTAGGATGCTATGATAACTACCAATACATGACTTTTATTCACCATGATCTGACAGTGTACTACAGCACAGGGGCTTTCCTGCCGTCATGACTTACAGTCAATTTATCTGCCCTTTTCATGTTCCTTTGAATCCAAAAGCTGAGATACTGAAGAGAAGGGGAGGCTTTCTCATACTGATAGGCCAAGGCAGCGCCATCTAGACGTTTTGATCTGGAGGACCCTACTGGACCCCGCTGAGGTCACAGCCCTCAGACATAGCTGTCTAGTAGGCTGCTGATGAGAACAAAGAGACTACCTTTGATATAGCGTGTCTCAGCGTCTGCCCCCCAAACAAACAGGATGAAAGCCTGACCTCTAATCCCTCCCTGCTTGTTGCCCTTTTCTCTGAGGCCCACTGCTGAACAGCCACGGCTGTCAGAGAAATTTTGCCCAGGCTCCCACCTTTGTACTTGAGAGAAAGGTGAATAATGGCGCTGTATAAACTAAAGTAACCCATAACAATACAATTACATCCCTAATTTATTGTCTTTGAGCATTGAGAAGGGAGACAACATTGCAAAGCACTCAAGTGATGCAGGAAATGTATTCAAGGTCACAGTGTTTGTGCAAGGAAAGATATTAATGTTGAATTACCTTTGCGAGCGATGCGGATGCAGTTTATTCTGGATTCCTGAAAGGGGAAAAAAATACAAACATCAGAGGGGAGGGTGTTGCTTTGCATTTTGCATGAAAGAGATTACACTGAAAATATGACTACAACAGATAAAAACACATTGTGAATGAATATTAAACTGTGATATTTACTCCCTAGTAGACACATGAGGGACCCCATCTGGAACCATATTACTGTCTCCCATCTCTACTGTTGCTATTCTCTGATTAAATATTCAAATTACAGAAGAGTGGGCTGCTCTACTGAGACAAATATAAACTACAGGAAAAATGATAAAGTCTAAAAGGACAAATTACCTCTGAGTTAAGAGTGCTATTGACGACAATGAGATTACAAACTATCTCAAATCTGAGAGCTGTGGTGAAATGTTTGAGAAGGAGATTAGAAATTCTTGCTGGAGGAGGAAAGATGAGAGTTGAGAGTGGGAGAGCATAATTAAGAAGAGGGTTTCAGACCAATGCACCATTATGAAAAGGAATTAATTTTATTCAAATTTCAGCTGATGATGTCTCAGTGTTATGAAAAGGGCCTGTGTCAAACGCACTAATGAGATCTAAGACTGTAATCCGATTCCATCCTGCCACCTCTTGGAGGAGATGCATTATCAAATTAAGATTTACAGATGTTAACTCAGGCATTATGGGACCATTATGCAAATTTGCCCATTCAGAATTAGCAAAATAGTGCTTTCCTCAAACTGTAGTTAAACTGCTTTAAAACATTTTTTAAAATTCCATTTCAGGCTGGCAGATGCTTAAATTCTTAACCCTTAATCTTAATCTTAATCTGATAACACATACCCAAACCACAGATAAACACACTGTCAGACTCCCTGCCATTTTATCTGCACAAATGAACTACACAGAGTGTTCAAATGGTAATTAAAACTTATTTTGTTCTCTTTTATTATATGCCTATACTACTGTATATGATAGAAAATGCTCATAGAAGACGCTCATACCTGCATATGGCAATCATGGTTATAAAAACGTTCATTGTTCCTCTGAGAATGTAATGATTTTTATTGTTTGACCCTTTAAAATATAATTCTTTACACCTGGCTAAAATACAGGCAACTGTTTAGGCAGTTGATAAACTAATACATGGTAAATGATGGACCGCAGATGCCCTTGTACTCAAGAATATGACATTTTTGTTTATTTTACTAATGTGGCCAGCTTCCTCTGTACTGGGCTGAACATATATGAGCATCAGATGAAACCGCTGTTGTTGCATTGTGTATCAAAAATGAAGTCTTAACTTAACAGCACATGCTGCTGCAGGCAGTAACATAATAGAAAATACTAAATGCTAGGAACTGTGAGGTTGCACTTACAGTAGGCACAGCAGTGCTTTGAACTAAATGCTGAGCTAAATGGTGAAAAGTAACTAAGTATATTTACTCTAGTAGTGTACTTAAATACAATTTTGAGGCATCTATACTTGAGTATTTTCATACTTTGCTACTTAACTTCACTACATTTTAGAGGCAAATACTGTACTTTTTACTGCACTACATTAATTTTATAACTTTATTTACAAGTTACTTCTAGAATAATCCACACGCTACCCAGCATAAATTCAATTCATACACATATGTATAAGATAGTTAAAACTCTGCCCCCCCCACCAGCTGCAACAATAAATGTAATGTACACAACAATTCATCAATAATTATAATCCAGTATTACATTAATGTAAAATGTGTCATTCTGCATGACTACATTTAGTACTTTAAGTATGTTTTGATGCTGCTACTTTTGTACTTTCACTTATGTAACATTTTGAATGCAGGACTTCACAATGCTATGTTGCTACTTTTAAGTGAGGGATCTGAGTAGTTCTTCCACCACTGAACATCAGCATGCTAGCATGCTGATTCAGATAATGCTAATACGCTAAACAGATATAATGCTGTTCACCATCTTAGTTTGCAAAGTTGCAAGCTAATATTTCTTAATACTAAACGAGATGTTGCAGTCAGAGCTAATTTTGGAATTCCTGAGTCTGAATGTTTCTTTTTTCTTTAAAATTTACCAGCCATAAAAATGATAAATGTTTTGGTGTAATACATTTAGAATGTGGGTGAAAAGCAGCACCTCAAGTCAGAAACTATTATTGCTATTTGCAAAAGTCAAAAATGTCAATTAAAGCTGAATATTTATTCATTTTAATTAATAATCATTAATGGAATTTTTTAAAGTGAATCCCTGGTTTATTTCTCCTGTATGCATCTGTATGCTCGATCAAAAATAGGTTGTTGTGGTAGACCGGAGCATGCTGCGTTATGTGCATATCTGATATGTTGTGTTGATGGCTCAGCAGAAGAGTTAACTGGCAAGCTTCAGATTGTGGGACACACATCACACGTTTGGCTGCACAGTGCCAGTCATGCCAGAGGGGCTGGTGCTTCCTGGCAGCTTTAAATATAAAACACAAATGCCAGCACCCAACGGGGGACTCCACACCACATACTCAGAGTTGTTCAGTGAGTATATGCGTGTGAAGTTGGGAGATATAAGCGTAGATGTTATAAACAGCTATGCTGAAGCAAGCAAAGCTACAGTGTTTATCCACAGTCTTTCAAGCACCTCTTCAGATGGATCAATCAAAGCAATTACAGAGGCTTGACAGCCACTCTCCAGATAATTAGCATGAGTAAATGCCAAATATTATTGGTCCCATATAAGTAGTCCCACTGCTGTCACTGTTGTACAACATTACATGTAACGCCATCTCTCCACAAAGATACTGAAGACAAACCTGAACAAACCACACAGACCCTGACACATTATGCTGTACGCTTAAATGATATAACAAGCAGTCTGACAATTAACTTTACATTTGAATAAGGTGTTCAGAGTGCAAGTACCTCCAGTGACTACCAAACATGACAACCACATTAACACTTACAAATGCAGAAACCCTAATCAGCAGTTGTTTTTAGTAAATATGTGACTGTTTTTAATGTTTCATTCTTCAAAGAAAACTGCTTTCTGCAGTTTTAGTTCAACAGCTACAGTCTTCTTGTGAAATGACTGGATGTAATGTTGTTTCCCTGTTCTGTACACAATCCAAAAACTACTATAAAATACCCCACTCTACATGCATGTACTGAAGGCATTTATGCTTCTGTGCAAAATCAACTTTAAAAATGCTAAAACTGGCCTACATTTTTGTGACAGCGCAAGCACAGTGCTAACGTGTAAAATGCCTGATATACATAATTGCACATACGTAGGAAGAAAAAATACAAAGGAAAATACAAAATAGCATAAAATACATCTAACATTTGCTGAACGTTTCAGGCCCATACAGGCAGCATGAGCCAAATCTGAACATCTGCTTTGTGGTTTTAATGGGTGATCTCATTAACACTTGGATGTGCCCACTCTCAAAAGACTATAAAGTAAAAATAATAACTCTGTTACATTGATAGCATCATTAACAGGCAAAAGAAGACATCCATGAAATGACTTTTTTGGTCTGTTAGTGGTTTAAATGTTGCTAAGCTATGCTCTTTTATTTTACTTTTTCTGCTGCAGGTCCATTCATGTTGTCATTGCCCTGCTGTGCTGTTTCTTCTGTCTCCTGCTGTTGATGGGTTATAAGCCCAGCAAAAAGCTGCACCTCAGTTGTGCTGAACTGATTGAGCCAAATCCTAGCTGTTTTTAACAGACAAAAGGCCCTTAATAAAAATTACTTTGTGTTAAAACAAACTAAACAACATCCAACACTGTGCACAGACAAAGGTTTGATGTCTGCAACAGTGACAATGGCATAAAGCTGTTTGCATTTTCAAGAGTAAGTTTTGTTTATTTTTGACTAAAACTGAAAATTTAGAGTAATTATTTCATTCTGACAGCACCGACACAAGACGGATGCCCAGATTTGAACACTGACAGCTACTGTGGTTCCAGGCAAAGTGTTTAAGCAGTGTTTAAAAGGGAATAGTGCTTGTTGTGTGATTTGGCGCTATGCTCCACTCATTGTGGGTCGTGGATGCTGGGCTCCTGCCAGGCAAAACAAAACCTAATCCCATCTACTGGTAAAGCTGGGCCTCCCCTATCTAATCCAATGCTTAGTAGCCTAGTTGTGTAAACTGCTCACACTGCATTCCCTCCATGTGTTTCTCCACTGGGTTGGAAAACAATTCTACTGGTGGAGAGGAGCCACCCAGTTCAGTTCAGGAGATGCTGAAAGTTAAACAGACCGGTAACCAAGCTTGCATGTATTTATTCCCAGCTGAGGGGTGTGTTACCTGCTGCAATATTTCTCAGCTACACTGCCACAATCTCTGAATATTACAGCAACAGCTTTCTACCTTCTGATCCTCTGCACCTGTGCCCAATTATGCCTAAGTAATTGCCTCACCCATGTAGCAGCTCCTTCTGTAATGGAATTTGGAAAGGTAATGTGCCATCCCCTGGGAATGACTGGAAACTGGAGAGCTTTGTGTGCTCAAGAATGGTGAAATATATGGAAACACAACAACGTGGAATAATGCACTACTTCTCATCTAACAGGGTATATTCTCAGAGTTTTTGTTATATGGATATAATTGCTTGGTTTGGTTTCCAGTCTGCAGTCACCGGTTATTTTCAAAGATGCTTACTGATTAAGTGTATACATAAAGAGATAAGGGCCATAATCAGAGGATCACTGAATGAAGGTCACAAGGTACAGTAACAGGACAGAAAAGAAGCATGACGTGACATAAAATGGATAGAAAATTACAGGCGAATGAAGTACATTAATGATGCCACATAAGTAAATTCAGCTAATCAGAGCTTTTCTAGCTATAAGTTATGTATGCAAGTAATTTCCTGTTTCAGACACGCTTTGTTTTGGAAGAATGAATGCGGTGGGATATAAACATACATAATTTCCAAGTAGTTACACTGTCAGCTCAATGTGTATCCATCAAACAACCCCTTTCACAGAATAAATACTCCTTCAAGGATTGTGGGCCGAGACAATGTCGACTATCCTACTGCATTAACCGCAGCATGAGTAAATACAGATACTCATTAACACCATTCATCACTGGCACAGGATTACTCTGAATACTAATGCCTGCAGCTAAAGGATGAATGTTGCCAGACCTGCTGCAGGGGCTGGTGGAACATTACGATCACTCACCCCTCGGAAGTTGCTCATAGCCTGGAAGTAGACAAGATAGCTTTTGCGTGGATCCAAAGGGCTGTTCCAGTAGCCATTGTAAGTGTGGTTGTCACCCACAGTGAAGGGACTGGCCTCCGGGAGGCTGCTGGGTGGCAGCTCTGCTGTGTAGTAGTGTGGTGTGCCCCGGGCCTGGGCCTCACCGTGGGATATGGGCAGTGGGAAACACTCCTGAAGCCCCAGTTCCCTTTTCACTTTCTTCCCTGTCTCCTCTTCAACTACCACCTGGTATGTGCTGGACACAGGGTGGATGTGCACCTTTAATAAGCCACATGTAGTACAAAACAAGATCCGATATGTGTATTTGAGATGTTTTCCTCACCTGACAGGTGCCCCTCTACCTTGGGCAGGGCGCAGCAGGACAGTAATTGTGCTTTCAGTCTCACTCAGGGGGGAAGGCATGTCTCCGTAATCAAAGGTGGGAGCTGAGCATGCACAGAAACACAGTGTGTTTAAATGAAACATGTTATAATTAAGGCAAATGCACATACACACAAACACATATAGTTGTTCCCATTGTTAATTTAGACCATCTTAATTTAGCTTCCTCTACATAAGCATGCGCAGCCCCTCAGTGGCTCATGAAACTGACAGACCATTTAATTTTAGCAAAGAGCCATCCCTTTCCCCACATAAATGGCTAACAGTGTTAATGTCCTCAATAACCTTATCCTCATATTCAGCACACTGTTTGAATTTCCATTCTAGTTGTCTTGGACACAAGTCCAATTAAAAGTCATGGGAGTGAGGCTAAACTGAATGGCTTTCTCATTTGAAAGGATTTGGCTAAAGTCGTGCTGCTCCCCAGAGATGTGGCAGCACATTTGTCTTTAATATCAGTAGTCAATTAGTGAGGCGAAGGAGAGCAAACTATTCATGAGGAATCAATGATTATCATATTAAAAAGTGCTTTGCCAATACCACAGCAGAAAGGAGCTGACATCAATTAAGAGGGAGGCATTAAGGAAAACTGAATGTCTATTTGTTGACAGTAAAGGTCTATTGCAGTTTGTAGAAATAAAACAGGGTCTGATGCCTGTTGCCAGATAGAATCTGTCTGAAGGATGATTGTGTATCAGTCATGAAGCTGCACACGTCTGTATGCATATGTGTGTGAATGAGGATATGTGTGTAGCTGGATACTCTGCGGTGGGTATTGCTTAAAGATGCTGACAGTAGTAGCTGCTGAAGGTGTTCAGTGTTTCCTAGCTGTCAGTGCAGATTTGAGAGACGCTCAGTGTAAGTGAATGTTCTGCACCGTGGGGCAGTGAAGGAGGCTGAGGATGATCTACAAAGACTTTGGACTCTATCTGCAGTCTGAATTTGTGCCAGTGCTCTGTCTGACATACAGCCAGTAAACAGCGATTATGCAGCAAATCTATAATTAAACAAACGGGGCCACTCTGTTAAGAGATGGGTCAGAAGGAGGTGGGAACTGTAAATGTGTGAGCAAGACTGGGTGGGAGTGGCTGTGTTGTGCATTCCTAAGAGGTGTAATCGTGTCCCTTAACAAGCGTACATGCATCATTAAATGGAAACAGTAACACCAAGGCTAGATTTCTATCAGCAGTAATAAGCTCTGAGACCCTCAGAAGCAGCATTCTGGTCCCGAGAATGTATGGCATCTGTCTTTATACAGAACACACAGAACTGTCCCACATGTGGTGTTTCTCTGCTTCCTATGAGTTAATTTATGTCCTGAGAACTGTGAGATGACAGCATGTCACTAGTTTGGAAAATAGCTCTTACACTCTGGGAGCAGTACTTTTACCTCCCTGAGACAAGAATGATACTGAGGTCACATGAGGAAAAACACAGATCCTAATTATAGCACACACTGGGTGAAGTCTAATGCTGTACCTGCAACAGCAATGGCACAGAGAGCTTTGTCGAGGCTGCCTGGTTCCATATCTGTTTATGGTTTTACAGCAGCTTTTACACTCCCTTGCTCAGTTAGTCATTGGTGCTAATACCTGAGATGTTAGTGGTGATTTCGGTCAGGGCAGTCTGGCCAAAGCCCTTGGCTGTGCGGGCTCGGACGGAGATTAGGTAAGTAGTTCCAGGGTGGAGGTTAGAGAACATGTGGTAGGTCTCATTCTTCAGCTTTGACACAGTTCTTCTAGGTCCTGGGACATTAATGCCTGGATCAGATGACTCTGTACTCTGGTAACTGATCTGTTGTAATGAGAGAAGAAAAAAAGAAGGCTTCAGGGTGATATCATAAAAACTAGTCACCTTAGCGCTGATTTTATGCTTTGATATTGTAGCTTCTAACAAATTTCAAGAGCTTCATTTTGGAGTTTTATACTGATCACAAGAGGACATTAATTAGATGTACAAATGACTGTCATAAGTAGTAATTCAGAGATTTGATATGATTCACTTCTCTCAGAAATTAATGTGCTTCTCTAAATCAATGTGCTAATTGCCCAGGTAGATTCACAGTTTTAGATGAATAGGACTTGATTGGCATTGGCACTGTTAAGTCAAAGTTATACAAGCAACCTGAAGTTGTGAGTGGTAAATGATTTTCTCACTAAATGACACATTAAAATGTCCACAGACTGAGGACACCAAACAGTAAAAAGTGTATTCACATGTTTGAATCAATGCTCCTAAGTGTTTACAAGTTCATTTAACACTTATTAACACTGAAATATTGTGGTGCATGACAGTCCCTTAAAAGTGAAGATTTTTTTCCTGGAGTGGTGATTTGCTTTGCCTGCACTGTACTGTGCATGAGAACATGCCCTCTCTGAAATAAGGGAGAGCTAAATGAGATGGCCTTATTGCAATCAGACAAGAGAGTCACTTCATTGAAAGGTTGAGCTCATATGCTCATATGCATGTACTGTATTGCACATTCATGCACACCGTGCACCCTAAAGATGCCACTCAAGTCAAACCAAAGGCTGTGCTGATTGGTGACTAAACAGACAGACCTCTGTGTTTCCTCTACAAAGGCAGACATCAAAGATGCCTGACAGTGCACACAGGAGTGAGGAGGTCTTCAGGACAGCATGTCAGTGAGTGGCCAATAGTTTCATCTGAGAGAAATGAAGAGGACCGTTATAGCTATGTGCTGTATAAAGCTTTTCTCCATCAGTCAAGGGGTTTCACCACCCTACAGAGTAAAAATTCCTGTGCAGCCTCCACTTTATATGTCAAACCACAAATCCTATTTAATAATATCCTTGAGGCGACATTGCAAAAGAGGCCTTGGAAAGAAGGCATGGGGATACCTGATGGCTAACAACAAACAGATGTTATTAAGACAGAGATGCACTTCCTCCTACAATATAAAATATTAAGTGAAACAAGGAGAATTTGACCATGGCACGGACACTATGTGTAGTTAACCCAGTGTTTCATTAGCCACTTGCATTGTGTGGGGTCGCAGTTAATGTCTAGACCCCACCACCCAACTGTGTAGAAGTCGACCCTGGATATTACTACACCAGAATTTAGGCTAATGCTGCTCTGACTGGCACTTTAGTGATTTTAGGGGAATTTACCTTCTAGTGGCTCCAACAAAATTTGTTATTCCAGATAGTGTTGACTTCACCAAATGCATCAATTAGTCCAATCAAACAATAAAGCCTAAATGTAACTTTTGTCTTGCTAGTCCAAGTATGTATGCTAAGCTTTGCTACAGGACTTTGTAAAAATCAAATACAAGTCTGAGCTTACATTTTTCCTTATTATGTTGAACCTTATAAACTATGTGCTCTACTAGGACGTCTACGTGGATCATCGACTGGTGAGGATGTCACTGCAGCCAACAAAATAGATGGTGAGCAGCTAGGAATAATAAGCCAGCGTTGTCTACTGTGGTCTAAAATGAAGGTCCTGTTGATTCAAAAAAAACCCTATGAAATTTGAGTGGTAAATCTGCCACAGTTAATCACTGTTAACTGTTTATATGCTGTGTGAGAATGGAAACCTTGGCAAGCACAGTAACAGTAACTCATAGGGGTAGGCTAGCAAAAGGTCAGATTCATGACTGAGAATCTGCACAGGAAGACTGTCTAATATCACTGTACAGTAATATCACTGAAAGCTCTGAAACAGCTACTCAGGGCACCTCAAGGTGAGATCATTTTGTTTAGTGCTGTTTCCAAGGTCAAGAATGGACTTTCAGTTTCAACCTAAACACTTTAACACAGTGTCAATACAGTGGCAGCACCAAAGCCAGAGGCTTCTCCTAAAACCTTTAACAGTTTTTGAAGTGGCAGGACAAAAAACTATCATCAGCATGTGCACTGTAGCTCACCTCATACTGGGTAATAAGACCATTGGGCTCAACAGGCTCCTCCCATTTTAGGAAGATCATGTCATCCAGTGGGGTGAAGGTGAGCGACTCTGGTGCAATGCCTCCAGGAACTATAAGAAATGGTCAGAACAAACATTTACCAGGAAAATTGAAGTGCTAATCCCACACTGAGCCTCTCCTGTCGATATCGCAGAAGTGAATGTCACAGTGGCTCAGAACAATGCACCACGCGAGACACCGAGAGAGCAGCAGCCAGAGAACATCAGGTAAGGACACAGTTAATTTATGAACCGCATGAATTATGTAATCACAACACAGACAAGAGTCAGAAAATATAAGACTGGTATTTAATTTTATATCAATCGTCTGTCAGAGTTAAATACATTGATGAATTTGTCAGATGCGTGCTGTTAAATTTGTCTCTGAATGGCAGTGAGAGGACAGTACAGAATGTGCTAACAGTCTTTTGGGTCATTTAGTTGCAGCCCCGGTCTCCATGGTCTGTGTGAGCACTGTACAGAGGAGCAATGTTATGTGAGGTTCAGGCCTGAGGCTAATGTGAGAGGCAAACAGCTGAGTCGACTCTTATCTTGTAATTGAGTTTGTCTGGAGGACGGAATTGCTTATTAAGGCTTTTGGAAAAACCGTTCATAACTGACTTGTACTATATGTATATTCACATCTATTCATCCTTTGTCACTTCAGAATAAATCTTTCTCTTGCTTTCTCCCTCGCTCTTTCTCGGTATACACTGCATATCTCTTTCAGAAAAATCTTGTTTGTTTTGAGTTTTTTCACAGCGCAATTGATTTCTCCTTCAGCTGGCATGCAGACGATGTGCCATGGCACAAAGGAATAATAGGAGATAAGAAACAGGCACAAAATCCTATCTCAGGGTTGCCATAGTCTCAGATATGTTTTCTCTTTTATGTTATTTTCATCTAAAAATGAAAAGGATATTTTGTAAAGCTGATTCAGCAGCAGTCAGTTCACCCTCTCAGGATTAATAGCAGAACTGTTAGAAATGTTCATGTTTTGAAATATAGACCAAAACTGATTGATTTGTGGATTTGTATATTTTAATCATTAATGATACAGTAGATTTAGACTGATATAAACCTAAAAGCCTCAAAACCAACTATCGCAGCATAGGATACTGTGACAGTAAAGGTCTGGTTTTGGGAAGGTCTGGATAGTCTCCTCTCTGACATTTACTATGAGAAAGGTTAAACAATTTGAAGTATTCCAGTTCATTTTAGAGACAACATTCCTCCAAAACAGCAGTAAAGTAAACTATGAGATCATAATTTAAGATATGACAAAGATAGCTCTGGGTTTCTTGGAATTAAAACGGTTAAGAACGTAAAATGCACACGACACTGGAGGGCAGCCAGGTCATTTTTACTGCATTTTAAAACAATAAAACAGTGTATTGCAAGCATTTCATAGACAATACACTGTTTTATTGTTTTAAAATGTATTTCTATCATTCATCTAAGTAAAAATAGAAATATCACACTAAAATACTCCTTTAAAAATAAATGTACAGAGGTATTATCTGCTAAATATAATGCTAAAAGTACCTGCAAACAATCGGCCACTTTGAGGACACATTATCTTATGAGATTATTAATACTTTTGCACCAGTGTGAAAGTAGTATTTCACCCCTACAGCTACTACAGTTTTATTTACTATTTCATGTCCAGTTAGCTAGTTTTGTCCAGTGCTTCCAAGCCAGGGAGTCGGGCACCTCTAAAAACTCACAAGAATGACTGATGGGCTAGATTCTGCTGCACAAATCTATTCATTTTTCATACTACTCCCTAATCCTGCCCTTTTGGCTTGTGAGCAGTCTAGAGTGGAAATTTCTCTTTGGTGGAAATGCTAACAACTGGAGTAGACACAGCTGTTTCATAAGGTGTCGCAAGCCAAAAAGATTGGAAACCACGAGTTTAATCTTATTTCATAACCAGCACCTGGTTAACTAAAGCTGTCAAATAACTGTAGTGGAGTAAACTGTTTAGCAGTTTGTAATGACACTTTTCATTTTCAGTTTTTCTCTCCACTGTGTCAGTGCTCTCTTTTCTGTAACCTCCTCCATGACTTACTGTCCTCCTCGGTTTGGAAGGTCACCTCTCTGCCCTCCTTCTTCCCCTCTGGGTTGCTCAGTGACAGGCGGACATGGATGCCATGGTAGGGTGGCAGGTCACGCAGCGTGAAGCGTGACGCGTTATGTTCCACCGCCAGGCATTCACGCACGGTGGTGTTGTGGCCTCCGCCTCCTCCCGCTGTGGTGTAGCGGTAGCATAGGGACACTGAGTAGGTGTGGCAGCGTGTCAGGTTGAAAGCCAAATTCTCCCACTGCAGGGTCAACTGTCTGGCCTGGATGTCTGTGGCTGTGAGGTCCCGCAATGCACGCATGGGCTCTGAGAGGAAAGATTTAAGAAAAAGAAAGCGGAAATGCAAGTAGCAAAAGTGAGCAATGTCATTAGGAAAGTCCTGTAGGAGCAAAACTGGATTTTAGAAAGTGAAAACACAGGTAATTTTGTTTTGTTGTGAAATATCTGATTTTAGAAAGAGCATCCCGCAAATGACAGTGTCAGTACTGTCCTGGGACGTCTGGATTTCCCTGTCAGTTTTTCCACTTGTTCCCATCCTATTGTACTGTACGTGCCACCATAAAACTGGAGGTCAACAGTTTGCTGCCAGAAGAACACACCCACAACACTCATGACAAAGCAGGAGCTCATGCCAAGTGTGCTAATTAATCACACAGACTGCGGGTTGCCATCGCACTCCCACCAGTCGCCGCCTCCGTGCCAGTGAGCAAATTAACTATCCAGTAGTTACACTTCTTTGCCCTGAGGTGTAATCCACAGACAAAAATGCAAGTGCTACACAAAGGCATTCACTTCCGCTGGTCACTTTTACTGCTGGGTCATCGCAATGGCCTGTTGCATATTTTTAGAAGGCACCGTGTTAATTCTGGTCACTGCCGGGTTAACCCTGACTTTCTCTGACACAGACTAAAAGAACAACAGCTCTGTCTTTGATATCCTCCTCAAATGTAATGGCTAGTTGAGCGATACAGAGAGCCTCTATATGCAGAAGCACAGACCAGCCAGTGTTCAGGAGGACGTCTGAAACTGAGTTAAGCCAAGGACATCCTCTATATCAATGGAGGCATTTATCAGTGGCCATTATTAAAAGAATCAATGCCATTTTGTCAAGCAATATGCTATATAATGCATTATATGGCTTTACTCTTTTAATATGGACTGTTGAGTAATGGGCCCAAGAAGCAGGGATTGACAGCAGAGATATGAGCTACAGAAAGATCAGTGGAGTTTGAGGTTACCGGCCAAGGTCTTCATTCCTTCACTGACTCGCACAGTGGGAGTCTCACTGCAGCACAGATGAATGTAGGGGTCTTAAATGAGGCAGCTAATGCATCACTGAGCACAGGCTAATGCACTAAAACAAAAATTATCTAAGAAAATGGTTTTGGAAGGTGATCCGTAGTTATGCAAGGACACACAAATACACAGATACTCATTTGCTGTACAAATGTGCCATCCCTGCCTCAATATCACTCTATTTATCTGTTCACTTCTCCTTCGTTCCTTCTTTGTCTATTTTACATGCACACAGGTTCAAACATACATATATAAACATGCTAACATGATCAAGTTTCTTATGCACTCATTACTGCCTGTGGTAGAGCAATTCTTTTAAAATAAAGTTTTATGACACTTTCAATCTATGTTGAAGACCTTTGCAGTCACCGGCTTTCTCTTTTAATTTGCTGTCTGGCATCTCATATAAGATGGAAATATGACCACAGGATCGATCTGAACCTTGTTCTGACTAATGTAACGGCAGATTAATGGATGGGCACAGTAATTGCAAAGTAGTAGCTTGCACCCAACAAGAAGTGTTAATGTTCCATTGTTCGGTGTGACTGAGGATTGTCTTAATGGTGCAATTGATAGTCTGCACAGTCTGAGAGATAAATAAAGAGAGTCATTTAACTGCTGGGTTGATGAAAGCACCGCCAAAGAGGCCACAGTGTGTCCATTGTGGGTTTTCTCAAAGTGGACATTTGTGCCAGTCCCTTCCCCTTGCCTCGTTGTATTGGTCTGATTGCCATGGTTACCCATTCGCTGGCACCCTGTGTCGTGAAAACCGCAGCCGCACCAACATGGTAAAAAAGCCCAGAGCACCATGTTGATCCTTGGAGATTGGAAGTTAGAGTGGATGTGGCAGGTTCTAGTTTATTATCTCCCCTGAAACTGTGACAGCAGCAGGACAGAGCAGAGTTGCTTTAGATTGCATGCATCCGTGGAGGGGATCTGGACCGACTGTGTCAGATGGGAAAACCAAATTTATACAGACATGCACGCCTATACCCATGTGCATGAAAAAAAAAACATACACACATGAGCACATATAAATCCAACCACCTCAAATGTGCACATATAGGGAATTCTGGCTCTGAATGGAAGATATGATAAATGACGTGCCCAGAAAGGGAGAGCACTTTGGCTCCTAATGTATCTAATTTTAGTTAGGCCCCAATGTTGTCTCCCTCAGACATTACCAAGAGCATCATGGGCAGGGGGCTTTCCAGAAGGTTCAGTGACCCAACAGCAGGTGGAAGCCCATTAACTTAGTTTGGGGACCGCCTGCAGTACAAATGCTCACCTCTCCTCTGTGATTTACTTGAGGGGCTTCAAACTGTGCTAATGCACCGTGCTGATAATCACAGCAATGGCTCATCAAGCACACCTGGATGGCCATCAGAGCCAGGCGCAGGCCATGTTCACATTCACGGCCATTAGTTTTACAACACTTCATGAGGACAGCTCGGCTCGGCAAGGTTGCGTACGGTGAAGCTGGCTACCCCACATGTTTAGGAAGGAGGGAAATTTTCAACATGGCCATGAAAGAGTGAGATTAGTCACGGTGGCGAGACACAGCTTCTGGAGAGGAAGTTCACTTTCCTCCTAGCTACAAATAAGGGTCCAAATATCCCTTCTGTTCAGTGGATAATTACCACCTCCCCGAAAACACCACAACAACCCCACCATCCATTTTCTCGTGCTTAAGCCTAACCAGGCCAACAGTGATGGGGGCAGGAGGACAATCAGGATTCAGTGATGGAATGTGGGGTCAGTAGAGGCAGAGCAGACCAGATGGTTTAGAGTTCAGTCAGGGGAGCTGTGAACACCAGGTGGTGATTCGAGGGAGGGGTCAAGAAGATAAGATAAAGCAGGCAAGGGAGGTTGCAGCTTACTGGAAGGGGTGTAACATATCCACACGCACAGATAAAACTGTGAACACTGATCAAATCACACAGGAGTCAATCAGATGCAGCCGCAATACAAAAAAATTACCCATCAGTAACATAAAGCTCTGCAGCTTCCTAAGGAAGAAAATACCAGATACAACAACAATCAAAATTAATTTCATACTTCCTCTGTACTGAACTAGTATTGCATCTAAATGCCCTGTTTAACAGCTCGGCAAACACAGCAGTATTATTTATCCCACACATGGCTGAACAAGTTAATGTCAGAGTGGTTGAAATGTAAATACGTCATTAAAAGCTGAGTTTAGTGACTTTCACAAATAATGATACCGGTAGCTGCGGAAGCAATTTCCGTACGGACTGAATCCTCTCTCGCTTCACCTCTCGCCTCATTTTTACCATTTCACTCCCTCACTTTGAAAAACTACCCTCTCTTGCCCACACACACATATTCTCACACCACAGACTTTTCTCCACTATTTCTCTTGCAATTGATGGTATTTTTTTTTATTTTTTTACTTTTTATAGTGAATTTTCTGTCTCTCGAGTTCAGGAGGGAGGGGTGTGAGCCTCTCATAGAGCCTGATGAATGAGAGGTGTCTTTGGCTGTTGGGAGAGGAGAGTAACTTTAATATGTCATTGGAGAAGGGACCAGGGAGGCTACTGGGGCAGGGTAGGGAGATGTGTGAGGGATGGTGTGTGGCAGGAGAAGACCTCTGGGCATAGCAAAGAGTGATGACCATGGAAGACAGGAATCCACTGACTGCCTCTGGGTAACACAGAGCTCTCCGTTTTGTGTGCCTCTGACTGCGATGCACACATTGCAGATGGTGGCAGCAGTAATGACTGCTTACATGTCTGGGTGTGCATCTGCATTAAAAAAGTACTGTTTGTGTAAATATAATCACCAATGGATGTGTCCTACTCATCTCTCCAGGTGTTCTGGGTCTACAATGTGATAGATGATGTGCAGATGTGAACAGGTAGTACCAAATGTAGACATCACATCGGACTTTGCAAATTTATAAAGGGCATTTGCACAATTTTTTGACATTTTTAGACAAATTGAAACTTAGATTGCAATAATGAAAATAGTTGCAGCCCGACTGGTCAATCATGTGGATACAGAGTATAGAGAACTATAGATCTTGTATGTCTCACTGTTCAACATGTTAGGTAAAAAACTGATAGAGAGATAGATGCCTCTTCACCTTGCTATTAGAAACAGAAATGGGGGTAGAACGAGCTTTCACTGGGGTTTTTCGACATCTCCTGCCAAGTGGCATGTGAAGCAGAACCGCACCGAGCTGCACCTGAGCAAGAGTGTTTTTGTTTCCAGTGCACATTGTCTATTGTCCGCATCTTGATTACGTGGGGGTGGTGCTGACCTAACAGAAGTCATACGTAACTTGCAGTATGGGTGTAATCTTTTTTACTATCCTGTAGCATGGAGACCTTAGTGCTAGACATTATTTTGCTGTTCATTGTATGTTAAAACTGTACATATCGGGACTTTTGTTATTCAATGTAAGACTTTCAGTCACGTCACTCATACGGGGACATGATTTCATGGTATTTGCACCAATCCGTTCAATGTGACTGCAAGGCATTTCAGCCAGTCACGTGTCTCCATAATCTGGCTCTGTTGAAGATGGAGCTCTACCCCGCCCAGTGGCAGGGCTGCCTGAGCCCGATCCAGAACGATTACCCTCTGCGGCTAAGCAGGATAAATGCAGGCTTACTCGCACTGATGGAAAAACACTATATGGTGTTATGCAAGACCCGGTGGAGGATGGGAGGAAGTGGTGGTGAAGTTTTGTTAAAGTTTGTGGAAAGGGTTGGGCAGTTGGGGTTGGAACCTGTTGAAGAACATGTACAGCTTGTTGTCTCTGCTCACATTTCCCTCTGTCTGATTGCCCTGATCTTTTTCATACCAGACCACACATCCCTGGCGTTGTTTGCTGGAGCTTGTGTTCTATATGCTTCCTGTAAGTGTCTTTGCCCTCCCTCAGTCTCCCTTTTAGTCCCTTCTGCACGCTCCTCACTAGGTCTCTGTCTCCATCCCTGAAGGCTCCCTTTTTCCTGTTCAGCAGCTCTTTCAGGTCACTGGTGATCCAGGGCATTTTGTTACAAAACAATGCGTTATCCTGGTGGGGATGGTGTTGTACTTTGTTATGCAGTTTGTCATGGAGTCAGTGTCATCTCCATGAGGCTCACATACCAGTCGGTAGCTTCACAATATCCCTGCAGAGTCTCATTAGCTTTTACAGTGTGAATCTATGTGTCTCCACCACTGTCACCTACAAATTCTAGCCCATATAGTGTACTTGCCAAAAAGAGTCTTTTTCCAGTGGATACCAAAGAAGCCTGCTACTATAGTCAGCGAGCTGTTATCTTTTAAATAACCGCCAAGCCAATCTTGCCATGCTGGCAGCAAAGGGACTCTCTCTTTCAGTCTCCTCAGCTTCAGAGTTCAGAGAATACCAATAATAGCAAATGTGCCTTTTTGTATGAGATAAGTCTATGCAGTCACAGAGTCTGAACTTGTCTATCAGCTCCTCGCTATACTGTAAGAATTTTAGCAAATGGTGTGGCTGTTGCTGGAATGATATCATTAAGTGCAAAGAAGAAACTTTTCTACCTACTGTTTTACTAGCTTACAGTAAATGTGTAAGCCAGTGGCATTTAGAAACCCACAGAGCAGCATCCTGGATTGAAGACCCTGCTGCCCGGTGCTTGTGGTTCCTACCGTAGCAAACAGCCAGGTGTTCAACATACCGCATTCCCTTATACAGGGGCTCTGGGGCACTGCATCACATAAACACAGCACACTGTAATTCCAACATGTTGCATAATGGGTTCTTTCAAAGCAACATTCCTATCTTTTTTTTAAGCCATCTCATTTTTAAGAAACAACTGAACACTGTGATTCAGCTTTAAACAAATAACACACTTAAAGCTGAGTAGTGGGTGGTGTGTTGCCGGCTTGCAATAGCCCCCCCCCAGCCACTAGCCAGCGCTTTGCAGTAACAATAGTACAGTCATGCTTAGAGTCAGGCAGTAAAATACACTACTCTTTTATAAAGTATGAATGGTTGTGTAACTGGTGATGATACGTGAACCTACACTCTGAGCTCCCTTATCTCACACAGTCGGCAATAATGTGATGCTACAGTATACGACTTAAAGTGCAACACTCTTCTGAACTTGGAGGTCGGAACCCTGCAGCGGGTTCATCTCGAGATGAATCTGAGATGTTACAAGATAATTAAAGAAATAAGAAGGATATATATATATATATGTTCAGTTGTTTGTTAGTTTTTTCTTGTGAAATACTTGATACTTTCACTTATTCAGGCCTCTAAAATTCCCTGAAATGAAACACTGTGAAAAGGAAAAACCCAAGTGATCACAGCTCATGTGCCCATTAAGCCCATAATCTATCACAATGAATCTCAAATGGACAATTTCAAAAAGACTGGCAACTCCCGCATTGGACGTCTAAACCCAGTGTGGGAAGCTCACCTGCACACTTGGTCCTGCTCACTAGAGGTGGTCCAGGAGGGCCAGTTCCTCCCTCTCCTGGCCGAGTCAGCAGCACACTGATGTGATACTCTGTGTCCGGATCGAGGTGCCACAGCTTGTAGGTGACCATGTTGACTCCGTGCACCTCTGACCACGGAGACTGGCTGGCGCGGTACTCGATCTCCTTCCTGATAATGGGGCCATCTCCCAGGATAGAGTTGGTGTTGAGCTGGATGATCAGGTAAGTGGAGCCGGCACGCAGCAGCTGAGGTGGCGCAATGGGGGATGGAGGGACTGTCAGAGTAAATGAAAAGGAGTGTTTTTTTGTTTTCCTGTTCAAACACGTTTGTATTGGCAAAGGTACTGCGGGTGGCTCCGTAGCACTGCTGCACAGTCTGGGGAGGTAGAGCTATGGTATTAATTTTACTAATCAGTTGTATGCAAACAAATTTCTCATTACATTATATTAAAGCCCACCGAGTCTTAAATGAGTCCCCAGAGCCTGCCGGATGTCAGCAGGTCAGCCTGCTTTTAAACAGCAGATTAGTCACACCTATTAACAAGGCATTCATAGCCTTGCATAAATTTTAGCAAAGCAGTGAGTGAAAAAAACAGCTGTGCATGCAGCACCGTGAAGCGTATGATCTTTGTAAGTGGACAATTAAGTGCTGTACATCTTTTTCTCAAACTGAGCGTTCTGTTCTCAGAGCCGGTCACCATGATGAAAGGGAAAACTCTACATTACTGTCAGTAAAGACTGGCAAGCCAATGATTAATTCTAGAGCCCACCGGTCAAATGTCACTTACTGGTAGATCCAAGCCACTGAACAATTACACGGGTAACAGTGCGAGGGAGGGAAGGGAATGCAAAAGAAATGAGTACAAAGCATGAGAAAAGATCAGAGTCAGATCTGTGGCTGTGACTAATCCTTCATTCCTGCACAGGTTCCTCTGTCTTTTATGGCCTTTCTCTCTGTGGACTTTCAACAGTACCAGCACCTCACCTCCACTCTGCACTGCTTTCCGTTGCCTTGATTTAGCCTGCAGCCACTCATCTTTTGGCTGTCAGTGACTGAATCCATAAGGAAAGGCCAAATTTAGGCCACAGGCAAGCAGCCAGAGGGGCCACATTTAAAACTACTCCATCATTTCAGCCACAGTTCAAGTTTACAGCTCTATTTTTTCAGCATATTATTTGTTTGTTATTGTTTCCCTCACTATAGAGAGCTATTCTGAACCTAAACATTGCTCTCAGCACTATTTTCTGTTTAATTAAACATTTCTCTGCAATGACTTTTTATGCTTTAACAAGGTGCAAATCCCTAAAAACACATGCTCAAAAGTGCCCAGGAACACAATACAACAACCACAGGGCCACATGGACACACTGTACATCACTTTAGGAAGGATGACGAAAATGCTTTATTCATTATGTGGACATGTTGCTGTCCTCTATGGTCATGATTCCTGCATGCAATCTATGTCTTGAAATGAGTAAATCCATCTCATTAAGAGGATGATTAGGCTTTTCTTAGCAGGGTGGTGGGGGAAAGGGATTTATGAAAGCCGAGTTAACAGAGTTAACTAGATGACTTGAACTTGACATGACTTACAGCCGGCTATCGCATCTATTTGTGGTTCAGAATGAGTTTGCCATAAATAACACATTTGACCTTATTATAAAAATGCAAGAAAAACCACAACAACATGAACGCAGTAATACTTATATGATGATAGTGTGAGCACATTAAATAGGATTTCATGGCCTTCTATTAGCACATTTACTGACTACTGGCAGCTATTGGAGATACATGTAGAGTTTAGTAAAGGGAAAAGTGCTCCAATTCATACAGGTCCAATCAGTTTGTCTTTAAAACACTAATAGCTGGAGCAGACAGTAGAGGGCAAGGTGAACGAGAACCTTTCACAGCCCTATTTCCCCTTCTCATCTTCCTTTTGCTGAGGGCTGGAGTTTGTTATGCCATCAAACCATCCCACAGCCATGTCATTACTACGCTGTCAAAGTGGTGTCAGGCTGGGGGTTGGAGTGAGTAATGGGAGTGAGGTCACCATCAGTGCTACATGATATGACAAGGGCTGCTGGAGTCCAAGTCAAGTGAGCAGCTTTTTGACAGAGAGCTGAAGAGCTGAGTATGGCAGCTTATTTGACAACTCCAGCTCAGAAAACATGTCGGCAGATTGTATTTGCCGTCCAACGAAATGTCGTGTGTTGAGTACCACACAAATTGCAATTAAGGAGTGTTCTAGAAATCTATTTGAAATGGATGTCTATAATTTCCACCATCATGGAAAAATGATATCCTATGGGTAATGTGAGACTATGCATCACAGTAGTGGCTATCACAGTTTGTTATGATCCGTTTCACATGCAGTGATGGACTGTGACCAAGAAAAAAAAAGTATTGTGCTGTCATAAAAACAGCAGGAAAACTGGTGGTTGGGGTGACAGAAACAGGAGGGAGAGAAACACCAAAGGAGAGTAATTAGACAAAGAAAAGAGTGCGTTTACCTTTGACAATGAGTTCAGCGAAGTTTGAGACCCCAGAGCCCCTGGAGGACTGAGTGACACAGCGGTAAAGGTCTTGATCTGCTCGCTGAACGCTGTCTAGCTGGAAGGATACCACAAAGCGCCGGTGACTCAAGTGCTTGACTGACGCCATTGTTAAAATGTCCCCATTGTGTCTCTGGAAAGCAGAGAAGTATAGGGTCAGGGAAAACATGATGGGTCATCATGCCCTTCTCTCTCTCACACACAATGTGTCATCTCATCTCATATGTATCGTGCAATAATTTAGGCAACTTATACACATACACACAGTTGTAGAAATACAAACACATAATAGGTCACAGTGTATTGCATTTCCATAAAGCTGGGAGCCTGGTGAGAGATGGAACTGAATGGTCAGCATTCACTGGCTGAGGCATACTCAACAGGACAACAGTAAACTGACCTTGATGTGCAAAATTTGCAGAATGCCCCTTTAAGTTATGAAAACTAATCAGCAGCCCTGTTTATTTACAGTATGCTAAGGGTATGGATCTCTATGTTTATTGTTATAGCAGATGCTTGATTGATACTATTGGTTCAGCCAAAGTACTGAAGCAGTTCTTTTAGTCCATAAGACTTGTTCCCAGATTATTAGTTTTAATATAATTCAAATTGGTGTTTTATGTTAATTTAAATATCTGTAAAAAGCCAGCAGAAATTGTATTTGTATTTGTTTATATTTATTTTCTTTCATTTCTTTTGACGGTCCTTCACCTTTCTCTTTACTTTTCTTTTTCCTTCTTTCTTGTCTTTGCTGTATATTGTGTATAGTACATGAATATATAACTGTGTGTTACTTATATTAATATCATTTAAAGAAGTAATTTTGTATGTTACAGTTGTTTCAATTGATTTTTTTAATTCAAAACCACACTGTACACATCACAATCCAACCTCCACCACCAATCTTCTGGTTAGGAGACAACCTGCTCTATCTCCTGATCCACTGCCGCTCTGTAAACACTGTCATCATACTAACATGGAAAGGTTTACATTTTGAGGACTTTCCTTTTGTCCCCCTAAGGAGGTTGAGTCCCCACAATGTAACTGTGTAACACACACTATATGTATATAGAGTATATATATAAATATATATATTTTGGTTCAGCCAAAGTACTGAAGCAGTTCTTTTAGTCCATAAGACTTGTTCCCAGATTATTAGTTTTAATATAATTCAAATTGGTGTTTTATGTTAATTTAAATATCTGTAAAAAGCCAGCAGAAATTGTATTTGTATTTGTTTATATTTATTTTCTTTCATTTCTTTTGACGGTCCTTCACCTTTCTCTTTACTTTTCTTTTTCCTTCTTTCTTGTCTTTGCTGTATATTGTGTATAGTACATGAATATATAACTGTGTGTTACTTATATTAATATCATTTAAAGAAGTAATTTTGTATGTTACAGTTGTTTCAATTGATTTTTTTAATTCAAAACCACACTGTACACATCACAATCCAACCTCCACCACCAATCTTCTGGTTAGGAGACAACCTGCTCTATCTCCTGATCCACTGCCGCTCTGTAAACACTGTCATCATACTAACATGGAAAGGTTTACATTTTGAGGACTTTCCTTTTGTCCCCCTAAGGAGGTTGAGTCCCCACAATGTAACTGTGTAACACACACTATATGTATATAGAGTATATATATGAATATATATATTTTTAATATACATATGTTTCTTTATATACACCTACAACAGTCATTACTGAGCCCAGGTCTTGTTAGCACTTATTGCCCAGAGGGCTCCAGTGACACTCTAAGATAATAATAATGTAACAAAATACACTTAAATTATTGCTATCTGGGTCAATTCTTATTAGAGCTATACAATTAAAAATGGAAAATTGTCCAGTTGTGTGCAATTTAATTAGAATGACAAGGCCATCTCCCTGATTTAATCACACAATATGACAATCAGACATGCTTTAAAAAAGCACATGAAATCTTGTTAAAATAATAGTTATTACTGGGTAATACATGTCCTGAGTGCAGTCCCCTTATGGAGCCCTCCTACTGTACAGTCGTTTTCTGTGTGTGATGTCACTGAACCACAACATTTAACTGCTCAGCAGTTAGAACTGGGGAACAGATTGGCCTCAATGCATTAAGGCTTTAATCAGTTTAGGGTAATGGATGAATAGCACCATGTACTTTGTGTTTTGTTGAAAAACTAAAAAGGAGGAGAAGAAGAAGAAACAACTGCTCACTTTAGTAAACTGTAACACAGATACAGAACATAAACAGAAGTAAGTTGTGGCAGAATTTGAGGAAGAGAGAAATAGTGGTGGAGAAAAGAGGAAAACACAGAGAGAGGGAGATTCAAATGAATGTTGTATGACGCACCTTGCTGTTTCACAGTGAGAGGCATTTTTCACATTGTTCCACACCATTAAAACCACTAGCATCTGTCAAGTCCATGTAGTCCCAGCCAAATACAACAGATCTGACATTTTTCTCATGTTTTCAGGCCATCCTTTTTTGTGTGAAATGGTGGACATGAATGCTGAAACTCATCCTTTTGATCTGAACAAAATCCAAAGCTTGTGAGCTTCTATTCAACACTTCTGATTTAGGGCCTTCAAAAAAACACACTGACCACATAAACTTTGGGTCAAGCCTTTGCAGCCAAACACATAAACACAGCTGCTGATTAAGGTTAAACCTGTGACCGCAGGAAAAGAAAAACAATTTCAAACGTACATGCCTGTATCCTCCCTGCATCTTTTGTATCGCCGCTTCACTACCTAGTGTGCGGATTACAGGAAGGAGGCAGGAGAAATCAGGAGAAATCAAATAAGCAGGAGATCACTTCATGTTATGTAAACAATCTGGCTGTAGCTAATTGGCGAGGAAACAACTGAACAATCTGTATACCTGGCAGGCACGTGCAGCCAAGGCGTGCTGCAGCTGCTACAGCAGACAGTGAACAAGACAGAAAGATGGAAAAGAGGACAGTGACAGGTAGAGGACAGGCAAGGAAAGAGCATCCCTGTAGCCTGGAGACCCATTACAGCTGGCCCCTGTATGGTTATGCCACCTAATTATCTAAAGCATTTGTCCTCATCCTCATGTTGTGACCAAATGAGTGGTTTGATAAAGCATTCACTGACATGGGAATGAGAACACTTCAGTGGCCTAAATGACATATCTCCCAGTTTTAAACAATACAGTAGGTTTACCTAAGGTCAGCCGTGATTAACACTGGCTGTAGTGGGTGGTAAGATGTTGACAAAGGCACTGAATGTGTGGCTGTGCAGTAATTGTGGTGTGAAATGAAAAACTGAAGCCCTACAGCACAATGATGTTTGGTCCTTTAATTACAGCTACATAAAGAGGATGGTTTTAAGACCACAAAGTGACTCCCACTAGAGGTAAGGACTCTGTGACCCATCTGACCTTCACAGAGCAAGCCATTCTAGACGAAAAGACAGATATCTAAACCATAGCACATGATTTGAATAAAATCAGGAGAGAGTGAAGAAAGCAGAAAACACCAGCATCTTAGAAGCAAAGTAATTTTTCAAAGGCAGTGAAGTGAGGAGGCTTTCAAGGCCTTTGTGGCCTTCACAGCAGTCCTCCACAATCTTTATTTAAGCACAAACGCATCTGGCACACATAATGATTCAAAAGTACAGAAAGGTGGAGTGTGGGGCCTTGTTGCAATTTAAAAATGTATGTAGAGAGTTCAGCTGTGTGAAATGAATGTTAAAATGTGTTGGAAAGTCAATCAAATGACTACAAAGAGCCTCAAAGCTATACCGGATGAAAAACAACACAAATGGACCACAAAGAGGTACAAAATTAGAACAAAATTCAAATCACTACAAATGGATGGGAGCCACAGTCAATAGAACCAAAAGAAATGCAAAGCAATAACAAAGAGATACAGTACAAAATGATGCTAAGACACAAACAACTACACATGGCACTGCAGTTTGTAGTACTTTTGTATCTTTATGTGTGTTTGTGTTCACTCTGGGTGTGTTGCTCCTTTGTAGGCGGGGTGTGTGGCCTTGTACATGTCTGTGTCCACAGGCCCATAGTCTAATAATCTTTTTATGACCTGAAGTACCTCTAGAGAAATAGTGGATTCAGTGTGAAAAGTACCAAAACAGATTTGCTGTTTGACTGCTAGGTAATAATCTAACTCACACATATTAAGTCAAAAACAAAGGTTCTTCACTGACCTCCAGCAGGAACTTCTCAGCCTCTGATGCCCTTCCAGCAGCAACACACTGGAAAGTGGCATTTTGCCCAGCATTGACCTCCTCATCTCCTAGTCTGGAGAAGTGCGGCGCCTTGTCTAAAGAGATGGACAGAGACAGAGACGCACAGCGAGATCAAAAGACGGTTACCTTTCAGCTATTCACAGTGCCAGCCAACTGCATGGGACACATTTTTATGTT